AGTTGTCACCTGTAAGTAATTGTTTTAAAATATTAACATACTCTTAACATTGTAAATGGCTTGAAGATTCCCGCTGAAGCATACAGAGTGAAAAAAAATTAAAAGGTGATTTTTTTATATGATCATTATCCACGAATTTACGTATCCTCGAAACAGTGATTTTTACTAAATCCACGAAAATTGATGCCCACGAATATTAATGAAACCACAGTAATGTTTTTTATAGTTTATAATTAGTTTTGGTAGGCATTAAGTAAGTAAAACAATTTAACTTCTTAGATAGCGTATATTCCTAGCTTTAGACAAAAGTTACATTGATAAGATCTGTGTATTGGTCAGCCGGAGTCTTAGTAAGCAGGCTAAATGGGAAGATGGGACCTCCTGGCGAGCTAAGTCATTTGATTACAGCATCAGCATTTAAAACCGTTACAGAGACCATTAGACTTTGCAGTTCTTCTAAGATCCCGAAGATGTCAGAGGCACAATTAAGAGCTGACCGTGAATTGGTATATTTTCATAATTGGTTAATTTGTTAGTTTAAACTGGTGATTTTATGGTTAATAATTGGATTAGTTTCTTTGGTAAATTTGGGTGAAATCTGGATTATTTGTGGTGTGCTTATAGAATTCTTGAAACTTAAACCTTTATTAAATAGGAATTAGCTCATTCCTACTGGTGATGTTTTTACACCGAGTTACAGGTGTTTACGACCTTTGGATTATAGAAAGCTGTTGGTGGCGTTGATTCACCATAGCTTTACAGCAGCAGGAGTATTGGTGATAAGGAATTGTTGGTGGCGTCGATTCACCACAATTTATTCACCGGAGTTATTCACCCAAAGCTTCACCAGTAGTTTTCTTTAAATAATTAGGGCAACAAATAGTTTCATGGGTGTTTGAATTTATTGTTTTATTTCATTGTTTGATCAACAATCCCACATTATTTTTGTATTTTAATAAGCTTCATAGTGTCTTAGTATTCTGGATTTATTTTCTTGTGAATTCTTCAATTAAGGAGGTTACGCTACATATTACGCTATTGGCTCGTTAAATATCTGAACCCAAACTTTGTTGACGTTTCGAGCCGCGTCACAATATTGCTCATTTTAGTGCAAAACAAACACATTAGACTGAGCCTGTATATATAACCCAAGTTATCACTTCTTGTTCTTGTTAATACAAATCCATTTGTATATATACTTGTATACACAAAATCAGATTATAAGACCTGGCGATTCTTGGTCTGCTTTTGTCCAAACCATATCAGATCACACACTTTTATAAACAGTAAATTAAAAGCTGAGGATAAGCAATTTATGAAGAAATAATACGGTAATTGCAACATCAAATTTAAATTAAATTCAAAGCATATATTTATCGAAATTAAAATTCAATTCTTATCAAATCATTTGAACAATAAAATACCAATAGAAAGGCTCAGTGATAAGACTTTCAGAGCTATTGCATAATTTCACATCTCTCTCTTTCTCTTTCTTTTAATTATTATAATTTCAATGTGAATGAATAAGAGCTATCGACCCCCTAGCCTTCTTTTATTCAAAACCCTTTTACAAAAAAATAAGTAACGAAGCGATAACGTTCTCATCAAATTTTAATATTTTTCCTGCTAAAAAAAACTCCAACTTTACTTTTATCTCTTCCAGTTATAATAAATACCGACTCTTTAGAAATAAATAACAAAGCTTTTTTTAAAATCTGGGAATTTTTGCCCTAAACAGACATTTTGCAAATGAAAATAAGCATGTTGCTATCTTTTCTTTTTTCTCCACAATACACGTACTCCGGCTCGCAATATTTTGTAACAACGAGCTTGTTTTGGGGTACCTGTAAAATTTTATTTTTTTTTTATATAATAAACCAACAAAAACATAGGCATTGAAACCGGCAGGGGAGGGAGTTCCTTCTCGGAACTACCTCTCAAAAAAGCTTGACCCGACAATAATCAAAAGTATAATAATAATAAGGCTTTGTTTATTTGATCACATATGTATAATTAACAGTAATACACTTTTTTTTCATTTAACTCAATGTGTATGGTTTATTTATTTATTTTTATTTTTTATTTTCTTTTTTTTTTTTTTTTTTTTTTTTTTTTTTTTTTTTGGTTTTGTTTTGTTTTTGCAAGTTATGTTTAAAGAGATTCGCAATACAACAGTACAATAACTTTATTTCGATCCGTGAATAAACAAGCCTTTACTTTTAACACATCAATTTTGAGAAATTTGTTGTATTTCGATGATTAAGGGGTAAAATAAGAGTAAGACATAAAAATTAGAAAATACTACGCACATTTTGAAATTAGTATTTTGAAATTATGCTTGAGTTTCTGATTGACAACATCTATGTGGTTTTTGGAAACCAGGTCTTCCAACAATCTATTGGAATTCCTATGGGTACCAATTGCGCCCCGTTATTAGCAGACCTTTTTTTGTATTCATATGAAGCAGAATTTGTCCAAAATCTTGTACGTGAAAAGAAGAAAACACTTGCTGTGGCGTTAACTCGACATTTAGATATATCGACGACGTATTGTCAATTAACAATGGCTATTTTCATTCTTATGTCGATACGATATATCCTGGTGAACTTGAGATAAAAGATACCACAGAGTCTGACACATCTGTTTCATATTTGGATATTTTACTTGAAAAAGACGTTAATGGTAATCTAACAACCAAGCTTTATGATAAACGTGATGACTTTAACTTTTCAATCGTCAACTTCCCTTACTTATGCAGCAATATACCTTCATCACCTGCATTCGGGGTATATATCTCTCAGTTGATTCGATACGCAAGAGCATGCTCTACGTATGTACAATTTCTAAAACGAGGTAAATTATTGACAAATAAGTTGATGAAACAAGAATATCAGCTGTCTCGTTTAAAGTCATCATTTCGTAAGTTCTATGGTCGATACAATGACCTTGTCAGCAAATACAATTTATCATTGAGTCAAATGCTGACTGACGTTTTTCACACTAATTGTTAGGCCATTATTTACACACTGAATTGTCGACGGATTTCTCCGTTATTTCCCGATCATGACAAGGAGCACACGGCGGGTGTGACCGGTCGGCAGGGGATGCTCACCCCTCCATGGCACCTGATCCCACCTCTGATGTTTGGAGGTCCGTGTTTGCTCTGCTCCTATTTTGTATTGTATAATGGACTTTTGAGCTTGAATACTGTTCGTTATCTCCATATATTTCATACTAGTAGTATGCTCGCGCATATTTGTAGCTGGCAGTTGATTTACAATATATCTATCTATCTATCTATCTATCTATCTATCTATCTATCTATCTATCTATATATATATATATATATATATATGCATGTATAAGTAAATACATCACTTGAGAAGGAAGTATTTATCGGTGTTTAAATTTTATATTAACAAGTGCTTGAACTATATAAATTCTATATGAAGTAAAAATAGTCCATATGCAGTTACAGATAATATATAATGATATACCTTGATTTGAAAAACATTCTGATAGTTTTGTTTCGTTTCGTTTCGGTAGATTTCGTTTCGTTTCTATTTCGTTTCGCACTTTACAGGTACCACAATGTCAGACAAATAACTACATAGCGATAGGATGTTTTTACAAACAAGGTCTTTTCAACGACGTTATAAATTGCAAAAAAGAATTATGGAGATAACGAAGAGTATTCAATATCCTAGTTCATTTTAACAATACAAATCGGTAGCAGAGCAAACACGGACCTCCAAAAACAACAGAGGAGGGATTAGGTGTCATGGAGGAGTAAGCATCCTCTACGACCGGTCACACCCGTGGATATCCTTGTTTTATCAACTTGTTGGTTAATAGCCTGCATTGTTTTAAAAGATCATACGTAAATGCTCTTATGTATCGCATAAACTCGGAGAGATAAACCCCATATGCAGGTGATAAGTTTATATTGCTCGATAAGTAAGGGAAATTGACGATCGATAGAAAAGTTTTGTTATTTGGTTACCATAACGACTTTTTCAAGTAAAATATTCAAAAATGAAACAGATGTGTCATACTCTGTAGTGTCTTTTATTTCAAGTTTACTGGGATATATCGAATGGACAAATGAATGGAAGTAACTATTGTTAATTGATAAATACGTCGTCGATATATCTAAATGTCGAGTTGAAGGCCTCAGCAAACGTTTCTTCTTCTCATGTAGAAGTTTTTGAATAAACTCTTCTTCATATGAATACAAAAATAGGTCTGATAATAACTCCTTAAAAAGGGAATTATGGGTATAAGTTGGATTACCACTTACAGAATTAAATCCCAGTTCATCTAAAATACAACATAAATAATGAGCCTTACAAAGTAAGAAAAATATTATTTTGCAAGCCTCTTTTTCCAGTAGGTGAATTGCTTTTTTTTTTTTAATTTCAAAATCTCCATATAATATACCTAACGCTCACGAATATGTAAAGTCTTTACACGTATATGCTTTTTTCTGCACTGAAAAGTATTGAGCGTTTGGTGACAACAACTCGCAAACTTTCCAAATGCATGTACAGGAAAATTATGATCTTTTTCAGCCTTTTCGAAACAGTTATGGCACGATGACTTTCTGAAGTTGTTATAACCAAATCAAACGGTCCAAGAAAATTTATGCATATGCATATATGGTCATTCTAGTAATGTAATTCAACAAAACATTTTAGTACTACTACATCATATTTTTTTTCTTAACAGTTAATTTGGCATACAAACCGCTTAACTCCAGAGCAAGCCGTGATGGAAACTTGAATACGTCTGAACATATTTTAGAAATACAGATTGATTTTAATGGAAGTTTCATAATATCGGCTTTAAATATCTATGGTAATGTACTAGTTCTTTTTACATGGCTTAGAAAGAGAATATCTTTGAAATAACGAAATCAAGTAGTTTGAAACATGGCATATGTATTCTTAGATTTTTTTTTACTTTTTGTAGTTTTTTTTTTCTTTCCAGCTAAACAATCAATCAATGTGGCCATCAAAACTACAAATAACGAAACATGTTTCATCGGTAAAATAACAGAAGCTTCCCCTCTTGTGTTCTGTAATTATATTTTGAGAACAGGAAGTTTAATCATTTCCTTCTCAGAAAACCAAAGTATTTTTGAAATAGAAGTTTTTGGAGGTTTGTATTTATTTTCTATTTATCAATTTTTTGAACACGTTACACAAGCAAAAGTTTGTCTCAACCTTCTGGCATATATCATAAATTTAATGAATAAATCAGAATTCTTTTAAATACTTTTCAAATACTTTTTTTTCAAGCTTAAAGTATTCTTATCGATATGCAAATCAGAATTACTCCTCAAGTGTAACTATTACATTGCGAGCAACTTGAGCGACGCACTATTTTGCTTAAGCTAGCTATTGTCTTTATTTTCTTTGTTTAAAATTCGAGATGATAAAAGTTCTTTTTTTTATTTTGAGATACGCATTGTTATGTATGTATAAGACCAATTTTTTTTTATCCTATTTTAATCAATAATATTAACATATATACATGTACTTCTATTCATACAGAGAATCTACACAATTTTTACTAAAGGTTTTGATTACAGCTGTTACCAATTAAATTCATTTCTTTTTAATTTTTATGTCAAACATATTATTTCTGACTAGTTAATCAATTTTTCTTGGTCTGTTTTTCCGTCTTTTGTACATACATCCCAAATATACATTTGTGAACAAATTAAATGCAAAATTTCGAAATTATTTTTTTTTTTTATTGCTATTAAAATATTAAGGCACTGAAAGCACTGATTAGAGTTTATCTTAATTGCTTTTAAAATAAAATTCAATTTTTGTTTAATCTGCCTGAAACTTGAACCTTGTTCACAACTTTTAAATTATCTACAACATGACAGCTTCTTAACCCTGTATTTGAGTTGTAAATAACTAAAAGGATGTCGTGATTCAAGGTTATTTCCACAGACAGAATCAAAGTGGAAAGGCTTGTTAAAAATTTTGTTAATAACTTTTGAATGAAGACACGCGAAATGTTCAAGGATATAAAGATAGTATTTGACCAGGTAGTTAGTCCCTATTTTAAAGCAGGGATGTTTAAAGAAGACATAAATCATGTGATTATGAATTCAGTTTAGTATACAATGGTGAATGAATGAATACAATTTTTTCTCAGCAAAAACATAGTGTAAATTAATGTATTATATATCAAGTTAACTTAGTGACCCTAAGCTAAATATTTCTCTTGCTTTTCGAAAAGAAAATCAGAGCAATGTTTTTTGAACTATGATAAAATGGTCTGAAATAATTTGCTTGTTCACTTTTAGTCATAAAATTTTCTGAAGCCATTTTTTTCATCCCGAAGATTCTTTCTTTAAATTGAACATCTTAGATTTATTATATAGCACCATTTCTAAATTGTGGTATTATTCTCTCCTTGAATCAATGTTTGTCTTTACTTTTGATATATTATTACATTTCATTTGCTTTAATCTGTTTTCATTTACTTATTTGTTTTTTTTTCTCCAAGGACGCAATGTTGCACTATGGAAAAAGACGTCACAGACATCAGATTACAATAATATTTATACATCTGACAAAGCTGTGGATGGCTGGGATAGCGGAGGCGATATGTCGAATAACTCATGCACACACACATATGAACGAGATGATCCTAATGGTCCTTCTTGGGAGGTTGATCTTGGAATCCCATATTCAATTATGTCAGTCCGCATAGCAAATAGAAAAAATCTTGGTTAGTCATTTCAAAATTGTATGTTCGCATTTTGATAATTTATTTTCTAGTTATTCTAAAAAGGATAAAGGAGAAAATGCTATTTATTATTACACTTCATGTAAGTTTCTCTCTATTTAATCAATACCCTTTTTTGGCATAGTGTTCAAGGGATTTATATACATGTAGCATAAGCATACTATGCAGAAATAGTGCCTAGCTTCTTTTTCTAAAGAACATCCGACAGTAACAGTATCTACGCCAGAGATCAAACTCACGACCCCGAGATTGCCAGTCCGACGCTCTTCCGATTACACCACAGAAACTGTCACCTGATAAACTGTACTTTAAATTATATTTCAAAAAACCCATTTATTTGCCACTTTTAAATTTAAAAAATAAACAAAAATATTTTTCCAAATCAGTGTCATATACACCCCCCCCCCTACTCTACTAAAATTCTGTCAAACTATCTGTATATTAAGCCTAACTGCACGAAAAATCCTCAGAAATATTACGTAGCATAACTTGACGTCATAATAGTGGTGTACTAACATTTTAGAGAACAAAAAAAAATCATTGTAAGGGGTTATGAAACGGTGGTTATGGAAAAAAATATTGACTACAAAATAGGCGTAGTACATGCAAAGCACAACACTACTGTATATTTTGTTTATAGTGATCTTAGTGCTGTGTGTCTGGTGCATTTCCGACCTAACTCATTCTACCTCTTTGGAAATGGTCATGTCACATTTATCTATAAAGATAACTAGACTTTGACCCGTGCGTGCACGGGTTGACATTGTTATGAATGCATCCATGTGCATATCGGACATTTACCAAGGGTATCCCAAGTAGGAAAGTATGAACTTGAAAGTACTTCTTGCTGCAATAATGAAGCCTTTTCATGGGGGTGGGGGTGGGGGGTTACAACTCTTTTTGGATCATACAATATCATTTCCATTTTTTAATTGAAATCATACAACGTAATCAGAAACATTTTAAAATAAATGTTTTTGATGTAATATTATTCAAAGCATTTTTTTTTTCAAAATATTTAGTAAAGTCTGAGTTTACCAAACTTTAAAGTTTAATGACCTTGACCGATTTTATTTTGGGACAGCCAATGAGAATTTGGGAGCGGATCTTGAACTGAATATGGGAATTTTTCTTACTACATACGTAAATAATGCAGCAAAAATAAAATACATACCTCATAAACATTTATATATCTGTTTAGTGATAACAAAAGTTAATCTTCTGCAGTATTAAACGTTTTCAATCAAAAGTCATTTCATCACATGAGAACTGTCATGGCTGCTGAAGAAGACAACTTGTTTTCACGCTGGTGTATTTTTTTCTTTTGGCGATTTAATTAAACGTTAGTTTGTTTGCTACGATTAAATGTAATTCATTTCATCAATGAATAAATATTCTTTATGATCTTAATTTTGTCCTACCTCATAGTTTTGAGATTTACTATGCATGGATTATATTTTACAAAACATAGGCGTCGGAACCGGGGGGGGGGGGCTAGGGGGGCTTAGCCCCCCCTTTTTTTTTTGCAAAGATAGACATAGTATAGGTATTGAAAATTGGGGCTTACCTTTTTTCGTTGGTTCAGCCCCTCCACTTTCATTTAGCCACCCCACTTTCAATTTGCTTCCGACGCCTATGCAAATGATCGATATTTTAGCAGCATAGATAGAATGAACTGTACGGGCCGCAAGGGCTGACTTCAGACTACCTATTAAGCGTAGTTACCCCGACAATCTTTACATATTTAGAAGAACAGGCTGTCCCTTCTATATAACGTCAGGGTCAGAGGTCATGTATTTACATAACAGAGCTATAAGCCTACAATAATGCTATTAATTTCACTACACTCTCGTAAGAAATATAATGTGAACTTTTTTGCATGGAATCAAATATTTCTTTGCCCTTAGTTTATGTTTCATATTTACCGCGTTATAAATCTCAGCAGTGAAGGTAATCAGGTAATCATGGTAATAGTAAACATGGCGAACAAATTCAAGTTGCAATCATTTAGACACATTTCAAATTGAAAATATTGGTTATATTGACGTTATTTGATTATTTCGATTTATTTCAAAGTTAAGAAATGAAAACAATGTTATTGTAATTTTTGGCGGAAAAAGAATGCCTACTTCACCATTCACTAAAATGTGATTCTAGCTGGAGTTGTACAGTACCCGCATCGTTATTCTTTACAGGATACACGATACGATAGGATACACGCACGATACGATAGGATAAACGCAAGATACGATAGGATACACGCACGATAGGACAGGATACACGCACGATAGGATAAACGCAAAACACGATAAACGCAAAACACGATAAACGCAAAATACGATAAACGCAAAACACGATAGACCTGATAAACGATCTTCACGATAGGATAAACGCAAAACCTGATAGGATTGTTTCAAAATGCGAAACGTTTTTTGACAAGACGAAAAGTTTTCTTTTTGATATACTATAGTATGATAATTTTAATTACTTACAAAGCCGCAAATCGAAATGATAAAACATTTTAAATTTATCATGATAAAACATTTGAAGTAATTATGCTTTGTAAAAGATATGGTGTTTTTGTCAATAAAATTGATCGTCATCAAGATCAAACTGTAATTATTTTAAGAATAATTCTACTCTATGATGGAAATTAGGCGATTTTTTTGTGTAATTATACAAATGTCGAAATTCCTTCGAATCGTTAAATTTGAATTTTGAGTCCGTAGACAAGCGAAGTTTTACACCCAAGTGCAATAAATTCACGAAACGCTACAATTATATTCATTATTTTAACAAATAAAACCTTATGAAATTCATAACAAACATTGATTATTTTTACGGAAAAACGTGTAAAAAAAAAATGAAATATTTGGATTCAATATCTTTTGCTAGAAGTCTGCGAAGTATATCCAAAATCGCCTTTAATAGTTTGTATTTAATAATTCAAATCTTACAAAAAAAAAAAAATACTAGTCATAATTTAGGGGGGGGGGGGGTTGAAAAATTATTGTTATAATTATTTTAAGGTTAATGCTTTCTCCTCCAAGTTTTTACGAATTTGATTTATATTTTATATAAATTAATTATTTTTTTTTTTACGTTTTTAAATTGCTGAAATTGCAAGTTGAATTGAGACAGACCGTGCACTGGACTGTGAGTAATTAATCTCTCCTATATATAAATATATATGTCACACATATCCCGTGCACATAGAAATTATTTACATATTCCAAGTACATTCCAAGTACATACATTGTATATGTATACATGAGGAAGGAGACCTGCGAAAAAAATCGAATTTAATAAAATTAATAAACGTCACTAGATCTGTCATCATCTATTATCCGAAAAAATATCGCATTTCCATTCTTTTGTATTTATTTTGGTATTTTTATAGGCCTGTAAGATTAAGCTAGAAGGGAGCATGCAGTCGTATAAATGAAAAAAATGTTACAGTGTACCAGCATGTGTAGTATACAGTAGTAATATAATGCTTATATAATATTGCCCATCGACAATAATAATGTCTTTAGTCATTTTTGTTTGCTTTTCAAAACATTTCTTTTTAGACACCACCCCCCTCCCCCCGGTCGCCCCCCAAAGAATTGATATTGCTTTCTTAGCGTGCTTGTGTTATAAGTATTTACAATAACAGAATTTGTATCTACTATAGATACGTGTAAACTAAGCTTACAATGTATATGAATATATTTATTGGGTACTTAAACTTTGTATTAAATAACATTGAATGGTTACGTACACTTGTGTACAACATATTAGAACACACACAAAAATAAATAATAAAACAATTTCCACAATTTGACAAGTGAATTTTCGGATTGAATAATTGTCAATTATTGCTATTAGACTTTGTAATAATTGTTACAAAACTTATCTTATATAGGACGACATCGGCAAACTTAGACAAAACTTTGTAAATTATGAAAGTCTTAACCCCATTTGAGGCACAGTCAGCGGGGAAGGGGGAGTCCATAACCCCCCCCCCCCCAAAAAAAATCCGATTCAAAAAGCAAAAAAAAATAAATAAATAAATAAATAAAATAAAAAAAATAAAAAAATGAAAATAAAAATAAAATAAAATAAAAATATATATTGACTTCTTCAATATAGTCACGTATTATATGTAATCGATAAACACGGATAAAATTAAATACAAGGTATTTACCAGTCTTGTGTATCACCGCAGAACCGGGCGATTTTTTTTTCATGTGTCTTTGAGACGCCTTTACATTTAACAACGACAGACAACACAGAAAACCCCAAGATCCAGAAGTACCGCAAGCGCATTTTTTTTATTTGATCACACCAGTCATGTTTATGACTGTAAACGTATAAAAATTACATAAAAATATACAAAGAACTAAATCAACGGAGTTTGGAGGACAAACCTCGCCTATATTTTATTTGATTCAATTATTTAATCGATTTCTTAATCTGTAACAGAAGTGTACATTTACCAATTTTCTTAGTATAAAATCTTTAATTGTTAAGTGTTGTTCATAAAAATTATGAACAATATACAGAAAATAAGTAGATGCATTTCATTGAAACCCAGTAGGGTTCAAGGTAAATACTTGACACCAGGTGAGAGCTAGAGTTCAGGTATGTCTACGTTGAATACACACGGGCCGGTCATGTAGGGGAAAGGGGGAAGGGGGGGGGGGGGTCTTGACTTGACAAGAAGACAGTGTACTGATTAGGCAGGTAGGTGTCAGTTCTCTCGTCACCGGAGCGCTTCCACCTGTCACTAAGTTACGGTATATATTACTTCATCTCCGCGCCGAAGTAGGTAAGATGTATAATAAAAATTTGTGTGGTTTTGTTTATTTATTTATTTATTTTTTACATCTTCTAAATGCAGTAGTTAAATATGAATGACAAACATCTATATTATAATATATACTTATCAGAGAAAAATAATAATACAAAGGAACAACAAAACTTGCGCGCATAGAATTTATGTTTCCGTTACTGATAAAAAGGAAAGCCTCACTAAAGATACTGATATTTTTTTATTCATAATTTATTTTTTGCACACATACCTAATGTTGTATGTTTCTATAATTATCAAAACAAAGTTAATAAAGGTGTCGCTTTTGTGACTCTGACTGTGTAAAGGGATTATAATATTTCTATCTTTGACAAAAATATTTCTTACATATCGACAAATTTGAAAAAAAAAAAAAAAAAAAGAATGACTCGAATAGAAGATCGATTATTTCATGTACAAAAATAGAATTTGACTTCCGATTTATGTTCTCTGCTTGGTGACGGTACTTGACATTTATTTATTTATTTATTTATTTATTTATTTATTTTCTTTAAAAAATATACCAGAGTAAGAGTATTAATTTCTCTTTTTGTTTAACAGTTAGATTAATCCTAAATAAATTAACAAAACGAAAGATGAACTCGAGATATCTCGGGTGTTTCTTTTCAAGGTAAAGATAAAAAGCGAGGGTTTCCGAATGCACACGATAAACGCAAAACACGATACACGATAGAACCTGATAAACGATCTTCACGATAAACGCAAAACCTGATAAACGGAAAACACGATAGAAAACGCAAAACCTGATAAACGGAAAACACGATACGATAGGATACGATAGGATACACGCACGATACGACAGGATACACGCACGATACGATAGGATAAACGCACGATAGGACACGATAGAATTGTAAAGAATAACGATGCGGGTACTGTAACACCCCCCCCCTTCCCCTCAAAAAAGCATAAAAGAAAGGAAGGATCAAATAAAATAGGGTAGTTACATTAATATTGCTCCTACGATCATGAGGTTTTTGCCTCCGTTGAGATGGCCAGAGACGTAAATAACATATAATATCACATTTGCATGGATGAACTCAGAAACGATTATACAAATACGTGTAAATTTTCATTGGAAATTTGCTATATATTCTGTTCATATATATTTATGATTTCTTATTAGAGAAATTATAAAATAACAAATATATATATATCTACTTAGTACTTTTGTCTTCTCTGATTTGAACACCGTGATTTAGCGTGAATGTAATGCGCACGCGCAAGATTGTAAAATCCAAAAAATCCAGATGATTTCCGGAATTTTTTGAGGAATTTTCGTTGATTATTAATTAGCGAAGCTTAATTGAGAAAAAATAAAAACAAATTGGTAATCTTCAAGTACCAATGATGTTTAAAATATATAAAACAATAGACAGTACTCTTCCGATTTATGGGTATTAAAGGCCAAAAATTCGAGTCTATTATTTTAATATAGTAGTATAGATGTGCACGTATTTTGTAGCTCTTTTAAGTTCATGAAAATATTCGCTGGAAAAAATGATTCAACACTATTTTAGTTATCCCGAATTGATATACATGTACAATTTTATCTAATCTCCATTGAAAATATTTTAAGATCAATCATACAGAAGATTTAATCAATTGAAGCATATTCATCCACTATAACCTACACCATAAAGATCAGGGTTCTCCATAAGCTGTTTTACTGTGTCGGCCCCGACAGGGTAAAAATTTCCCCGACACAGTTATGATTCAAATTTTATACGTGTGACCAGAAACGTGTCTCTGGTGCGACACAGTAAAAATTTTGCGACATAGTAAGATCTGTGATAATCAGAAAATCAGAACATAAATTTCTTTCTAACTGAAATTTTAATCAAACAAATCTACCCTATTTCAATTTTTAAGGCAGAGCATTCACTTAATTACTGTATGTGTACTTAAAAGAGGAGGGCTTCATATTTTAGCGGCTTTGGCGCAGACAACAATGCGCTAATTCATGAAATCATTTATGAATACAAAATACGGCACGGACATGTATATTGCTAAGTCATGATTTCGCCAACAACTCCATACCCAGTGATTGTGCTAAATTTTGAATACGCTAAGTACACGTACATATCTATTTAATTAAGGCACTTTGTCTTGCTTCAACTTGCATAATCAATTATCTTCTAGGGCCTCGCTGGACTTTACGCATGAAGGAACAAAGACAAATAATTTGTTATCACACTTCCATGTAACCGTATAACTGCTACATGTAGTTACATCTTTAAATATTATTAAAAATTACAAATTTCTTATAAATATTTGTCTTTATACTTCATGATCAGAACCACGTCTCTAGAATTATGTTGGCATTATGAGTCAAACATCGTTACGGTACCGTAATCATTTCATTGATGTAAATGTATCGTTGAAGAATTAAAGACACCCCTTAAAAGTATTTTACTATTCTAAAGTTTCTTTTTTTAAATTCGTAAATTCGATAAACTGACAAAAATCATAGCAAATTGACTTTTAAAGTGGGGAAGTAGATCGATTTTATCGATCAGAATTTCCTCTGCTCTTCAGAGCATGTGTAAAATATAATTAAATATTCATTGTACATACAACAAGAGCCACATCGCTCACCTGAGCACTTTGGCTAGGAAAAAGCAGAAATCAGTTCAGTATTGAAAAGTTTAAATATAACGGGAGGGGTATGAACAAACTTGAATCTACACTTCCTAAGGATGCTTTTGAAGGCTTTGCTGTTCTTCAGATGAAAATTTTTATTGAATGGATATATCCGTTATATTCCTTTGTATAACTATGATCCCCTGTTATGGCCCCTCTATTCTCCTGGGGTCATGATTTCAACAAATTTAAATCTACATTACCTGAGGATGCTTTCATATTATTATGACCAATCATGGCTTTGCTGTTTTTGAGAAGAAGAATTTTAAAGATTTTTATTCCTGTGTATTCCTATGTAAATATTTGATCAACCTTTGTGGCACCACCCTACCCCAGAAGGTCATGATTTGAACAAAATTGAATTTACAGTACCTGAGGATGCTTCCTTATAAATATATCTAATCATGGCTTTGCTGTTCTTGAGAAGAAGATTTTTAAAGATTTTTTCTGTGTATTCCTATGTAAATATTTGATCAACCCTTGTGGCACCACCCTACCCCCGAAGGTCATGATTTGAACAAAATTGAATCTACAGTACCTGAGGATGCTTCCTTATAAATATATCTAATCATTGCTTAGCTGTTCTTGAGAAGAAGATTCTTAAAGATTTTTCCTATGTTTTTCTATGTAAAACTTTGATCCCCCTTTGTAGCCCCACCCTTCCCCAGGGGGTCATGATTTAAAAAAAATGAATCTTAACTACCTTACAATGATTCCACATATGTTTCATGTTTTCTAGCACAGTGGTTCTTGAGAAGAAGATTTTTAAATGATGCCATTAATCTTTCACGAAATCATAATTATCCCCCCTTGGAAGTAGGCGTGGCCATTCATTTGAACAAAATGAATCCCCCTTTACCCAAGAGTACTTTGTGGCAAGTTTGGTTGAAATTGACCCAGTTATTTCATATTAACTATGTTGCAGAAAAGAGGTTGAATGGATTTCAGTTATTTGGAATAAGCTTAACAAACCTTAAGCAGTTGATGTATACAGAACCAGTAAATGCTACTCCAAGAAATCCAGTTTGGGTGGATTCGTCAATTATGAGAACATCTTTGTACCACACAATAATCATTGATGGAAAAAACCTAGTTCTGTACAAAGGCGGCTACAAGATTCTCACTCTCTGTGAAGTAGAAGTGTTTGGTAAATATGTGTTCATTCCTATTCTAAATATTTCCTTAATCAACAATTCTAAAAGGGTAAGAAACACAAAATTAATATGTTAACAGTTGTAAACATAGTTTTTACGTGGTTTTTCTGATAGCATTCAGGAAGAGTTCATGTTTTTGTTGTTTTTTATTCTTGTGTATATCTATCGGTCTGCTTCCGCGTCTTTAATGATTAAATCCGACACCTCTTGTCCGAGATTGAGATTTGTATTTACTAGAAGGAAAATTGAAATATAATAATGCATTAAAATGAATAACACCGTAATCTGCAAACCGTGAAAAAATTCATCTTAATTATAACATTAACATTCTAACGTTAAGGACACATAAACACATTTTAAATTGTTTTTAAAGGCTTTTCACTTCATTTTTGCAATATATCTGCTTTTCATCTTAATTTATAACAAGTATAAGGTGAGATAAAAATAATTCAATGAATTGACTTCTAATTTTTTCGAAGGTTTTGACAGTTTTTACCAATATGGCATTTTAGCAAACTGTTGTTGGTAAAGAATTCAAATAAAGAAAAGAGGACCACTTAACCTCTTCACTTTCAAATAAGTCGAGGGTTGTAAATTATAAAATTGATCAAATCAATTTCTCCTAAGGATATGTTAAGGATAGAGAGTCTTGTCAGCATTACAAAAATTAAAAAAGTACGAGCTCAAGATGCAAAGGATATTCTGTTTGTGAGTGACTCATACTTAATGAGCACATTTTACACCCTTTTACATGTGCTATTTTATTATTTGCCATAGGACATGCATGAAACAATGTCGAATGACTTAAAATCGAACTATTCGTGTATTTTTATTGAGATATCAGTACATAATCTGTTAGGATAGTATACGTTTTTCTCTAAATCTTTAAAATCCATATATATTTTAAATCAACTTTGAGTTTAAAATTAAGTTTTAATCTTTATGTATTTCTTGAAAACAGTTAAAAAGAAATACGCAGATAACACTGTTTCTATTTTTAAATGTATAGTTTATTTTCCTTGAAACACAGTTACGAGCGATTAAAGTTTACGATACCAAATTTTCACTACCTTCTGTGGAAAATAAATGAAAAGTATAGTGATCTTGGGGTGGCCAGGACCAAAATATACAGATGACATTCATTTTTCTTTTATTTTCATATTTTACATACATTATATACCACCGTCTGACAGTCTTTGGCCATTATATATGTCTTTACCACCTTAAACATGTCTCGAAAACCAGATCTAGACAGCCTGTGAAAAAAGTCTTGTGGACAAGCACTTTTTTAACCTTTATCCTAACAACTCATCTAAGAAAGACAGCATTTTAAAAATAACAGCATTATAAGACTCTAGAATTATCCGATAATATAACAGACTTTGATAACAATATTTAAAGAGATTTTTTAAAACTCTTTTTTGAGAAGGGAGGGGGGGGGGGGCTTTCTGAGGGGTAGTGAGCAGCGTTTGTGTAAATGAATAAAGTTTAATGATTATATAAAGGATATTTAGCTCTCCTGGTTAAAAACAATTTTTTGCAGAGAAAAAAAATACAAAGTATGTTTTTTTTTAATCATTAACATTTAAACTCACATTTCAGCTTGCAGATTAACTGAAAATGCCGGAGAAGACTGCATTGGTTTTTGTCCAAAACATTGCCAGCAAACAGAAAAGTGTTTGAATGAAAATTTTACATGTCCTAAGTGTACTCCTGGATGGAAGGGTCCTCATTGCACTCAAGGTGATTTTTATTCATTTTAATTTTCAGTTATTCATTATTCATGCACTGCATTCTTATTTAACTTTTTTAAGTAATTCTCTCCCAATATTTTATTTTCATATTTCAGTTGTTTCTTGTGGAAGACCAAATGTAGCCAAAAGAAATATGTCTCTTTCTCCTGATTATTCTTCTTATAAATTTAATACAACAGTAACTTTTACGTGCCTCAAAGGATTTATCATACGAGGATCTACACAAGCTGTTTGTGGACCAAAAGGGATTTTCATTAATCATGATGATTCTAGATCTCCGTCATGTGAAGGTAACATGTAAAGCATTGCGCGGTAAATGGAAGTGAAATATGCAATAAATAATTATTATTACACTAATTGCTTTTACTGTATGTACTTGTTTGCATTTAGTAGATATTTTTTTATCGAAAAAAATTCATTACAAAAATTATCTTTTGTATGATTTTGTTCGTTTCTTTTTACAGACATTACTGATAAGTTATTCATAGAAATGTTCCTTGTTTAAATGTAAAAGAAACATGGTGATTTATGTATGAATGTTAAAATCAAATAAAAGATTCTTTACAGCTGTGACTTGTTCCAATCCTGTCAATCTATCGAATATAATAAAGATTCCTTCAAAAGCGAATTATAACTACCATGAGAGGGTAAACTTTTCTTGTGTGAGAGGATACTTTCTTCAAAAACCGACAACAGCTGTGTGCGAAACAACGGGTTTCCGGTATACAAATGAATATCCACATTGTACAGGTAAACCTTGCAATGCAAATCTTTAAAGTCTTTTTATCACATTTTATCGAGATTACTCACAATTTATCTTACCTTTATTATTTATAGAAATACGGTGTAACAGCTCAGCTTTAACTTTAACAAGCAGCAATTTGGTCCTAGATCCGCCTGAACAAATATACGCATATAATGTGACCATAACCTTTTCATGCAAAGAGGGGTACAACCTAAGGGGCTCTAAGTCAGGAACGTGTTTACAAAACAACGTCATTGATTTTATGCCTGGCCATGAAAAGCCACGCTGTGAAGGTAAAACTGTTCTGCATTATGCACATACTATGGTACAGCAAAGAAATCTTACTGAAGATATTTGATAAATCAAAAATCAATGAAATTAAAGTAATAACTTATTTACAGATTATATTCCTATTATATTTAACTATAATCTCATACAAACACATCGTGTTGTATTTAACAATGTATTCAAGAATATAACAAAACTTAATGCACATATAAAACTAAAAGAAAATTAATGTGTAATGTTTATAAAATAATGCATTTTTTAATCAATTCCTTGAGCACTTTTTTGCAAATATTGAAAGTTAAATTCGAAGTCTATAAAGCTACGCAGCCAGATGCAGTTGTTTGTATAAGATAAAGTTACATGTTTAAATTTAGTGGATGGGTGCATATTGATTAAGAAACTACATGTAGAAAGATTATCTTGCATTGGATTAATACCTTCGCTATCTGTAATCATAATTTCTTCAATATTAACTCCATGTTAGAATTTAGAAATATAGCATGAAGTTTAGGGTGATGGTCGCATAAGTACTGAGAAGGACATTGCTTGTACAAAGCTGTTCTTCATGAATATCCTCATTATCTATAATAAGACTGCTTCTTGATTACCCAGATTCTGACTTGAACTTTCATATTTTAGCAACATTGTAGGGCTCATTATTACGGCTACATTTTAGAAGAACTCGGTTTTAATTCTACATCTGAAAATCCAATTTTTGGTTCAAATTCTGTTAAAGATGAAGTACTTCAAAACCACATTTCAGTCTTTACATTTCAGTCAAGGATAGTGAGTTTGATCTACCCTACCTATTCTGGATTCATTAACTTCCTTAGAAAGATACAGCACATTCTCTACCACTCCCCTATCTTTACTTCTCACAAAAATAACTTCTGATTGATTGATTATATTTTGTTTTACGTCCCATTCGAGAATTTTTCACTCATATAGAGACGTCACCATATACCGGTGAAGGGCTTCAAATTTGGACCTATACTGGGCACTCAAGGCCATTGAGCAGTGGAGGTTCTTTATCGTGCCAACTCCCACCGCGACACGGGACTTCGCTTTTTAAGGTCTGATCTGAAACCCCGGCCTCCCGATCACGAAGCGAAGAAACTTTAGACGCACTGTGCTACAGTAGATTCAAGATTGGTGTTAATAAAAGTGGAATCTCAAAAATTCCAAAGAACCTATAGAAAATATCAAATCACAAATCTTTTCAAAAGTCAATATATACATTCAGTGTAATTTCCTATATGAAATCCATAGAAATCTACAACATTCAGACCACTAAAACACAAATGGAACCTTGTCACTACGCGGTAGAATACACAATAGGAACTACATACAGTTTAAATACACTGGATATATCAAAATATATATTTTTTTGGCTCAATTTGATCAAAAACATTTACCCTATTAATATGTTATAGAAATATACCAATTGAACGTTTAAAATAAATTTAAGGACCCTCTATACACTAGAGGAAACTATTTTTTGGATATTGAGAAAATTATAATTATGTAAAGGTGTAAGCATTGAGCTTATCTATCACATTCTCAGCATGGGGTGCCTTGCATTTACCCCCAGGAAAATGTTCAAAGACAATGAAGTACTGATGAACATAAATCACTGTTGTTTACTTAAGTGGGCAAAATACCTGCAAATGAAGTGTTCTATTTATTCATCTCGGCCATTAAAGTGTTATGAATGCTTGATTTGATCGCAAATTAAGTAATAAAGTGTACATTTCAATTTATTTTATTCTTGATCAAAGGGCAGATCAGTCTATCTGCATAAAAGTACCACAAACTCAGAACTCTCTAGTGTGCAGTGTATAGAGGGCTCTTAATATATGGAAATAACGAACAGTATTTAGGCTCAAAAGTCCATTCAAACAAGACAAATCAGGAGCAGAGCAAACACTGACCTCCAAAACATCAGAGGTGGGATCAGGTGCCATGGAGGAATGAGCATCCCTGCCGACCGATCACATCCGCCGTGTGTTCCTTGTCATGATCAGGAAATATCGATAATTCAGTGTGTAAATAGTGGCCAAAAAATGAATATGAAAAACGTTAGTCAGCATTTGACTTAGTGATAGATTGTATTTGCTGACAAGGTCATTGTATCGACCATAGAACTTACGAAAGGATGACTTTAAACGAGACTGTTGATATTCTGTTTCATTAACTTGTTTGTCAGTAACTTACCTCGTTATAGAAATTGTCAATAATTACAGCATGCTCTGTCGTATCGAATCAACTCAGAGATTTAAACCCCATATGCAGGTGATGAAGGTATATTGCTGCATAAGTAAGGAAAGCTGACAATTGAAAAGTAAAAGTCATCACGTTTATCATAAAGCTTTGTTGTTAGATTACCATTAACCTCTTTTTCTAGTAAAATATCCAATTATGAAACAGTTGTGTCAGACTCCGTGGTATCTTTAATTTTAAACTCACTGGGATATATCGTGTCGACATATGAATAGAAATAACTATTGTTTATTGATAAAACGTCGTTGGTATATCAAAATGTCGAGTTGAAGACCATAGCAAGAGTTTTCTTTTTCTCATGCATAAGATTTTGAATAAATTCTGCTTCATATGAATACAAAAATAGGTCTGCTAACAAAACGAGGCACAATTGATACCCATGGGATTTCCAACAGATTGTTGGAAGACCTGGTCTTCAAAAACCACATGGATTTAGTCAATTAGAAACTGAAGCATCTTTTTAATATCAACTTCAGTGTACTTGTGTGTACAATCAAAATGTTTTTTTTAACTAAATAATTTTGCAAATGACCAATGACAAGGTAAGTAAATTTATGAGTTCCATTTTTAGCTCACCTGATCGGAGGCTCAAGTGAACTTTTCTGATCAAAGAGTGTCCGGCGTCCGTCTGTCGTCCGTCGTCTGTAAACTTTTCACATTTTCGACTTCTTCTCAAAAACCATTGGGACAATTGCAACCAAACTTGCCACAAAGCATCCTTGGGTGAAGGGAATTCAAGTTTGTTCACAGGAAGTGCTGCGCCCTCTTTCAAGGGGAGATAATTAAGAATTCGTGCAAATTTGGTGGCATCTTTTAAAAAATCTTCTCAAGAATCACTGGGCAAGAAAAGATGAAACTTATGTGAAAGCTTTATTGCATACTCTAAATTCAAATTTGTTCATATCATAACCCCCTGGGGGTAGGGCGGGTCCACAAGAGGGGGTCAAAGTTTTACATAGGAATATTTAAGAAATGTCTTTAAAAATCTTCTTCTAGAGAACAGCAAAGCCATAATTAGTCATATTATTACAGAAGTATCCTCAGGTAGTGTAGATTCAAGCTTCTTTCAATCCTGACCCCTAAGGGTAGGGCAGGGCCACAACAGGGGGGGGGGGGTCAAAGTTTACCATAGGAATATACAGAAAATATCTTTAAAAAAATCTTCTTCACAAGAACAGCTAAGCCATTATAAGACATATTAATACAGAAGCATCCCCAGGTAGTATAGATTTAAGTGTGTTCAAATCATGACCCCTGGGGTAGGGCGGGGCCACAAAGTGGGTTAAGGTTTACATAGGAATATATAGATGTAATGGTTAAGGGGCATTTGAGTAAAACACATTGAAGACTTCAAATAGTGGAATGATCTGACAACCCTTGGAGTGGACTAAGCTAAGGGTATATAAGGCAAAGCTTTGGGAAAGTCAGGCATTCAGAAGGTAGCTGTAGAAGTTGGATGATGAATCAGCAATAAAGAAGTTAAGGTATTCCATCCTAATAGCAAAAGATTCAATGAAATTGAATGCATAAAAGATATCAGGTGTTGAATACTCAGTATATTTAGACAATTCCCATTTATTACTATTAGCATTTAAGGATGGGATGTGTCCTAATTTATGACCTTGAATTTTGGTAAGAGTTATCTCCCTCTGTTTTTAATTAATAAAAAAATCAATTTTAAGAAATTCTGGTAAAAAATCGTTTTCAATTATCATTCTATTTCTAATGTGTTTAAGTGCATTTTTCCACTACAGTATTTATAGAATTCTTATTATTTGAATTTTTATTTTTTAAAACATTGCTCCATAGACTTCAATGAAATCTTTGTTAAGTACTTACTGCTTAGTTAATTACATTTTTTTGGTAAATCCTTTTCTACTGTAAAATGCTTTAAATTAATATCAGAGTATTATGTATGTGATGGACATTTAAAGATAGAGGATGGAAAAACTTAAGGGTAAGAGCAAAATAAAAGTATAAAATTCATAAACACCAGTGGCAAGTGTCCTAGGGAATTGATGTTAAGTTTTTGGTGTAGTAAATCTGAAGAAGATTGAGAAAACTGGTTCTTATCTAGCAATGGGAACCTAGGGAGAAACACGGTGCAAGTAGTACCTTACCCAGTCCCCATCTCTAGATAAGAGAAATTTTAAGTACTGTGTGATATACCCTCATGTAGAGCTGTCTTAGTAATCATTCCATTCATTAACTCAGACAGAGTAAAAGGAAAACCTATATATCTCTTATAAGAATCTGATCATACCATTACTTAGGAAATATCTTTGAAATCTTCTTCTCAAGAACAACTAAGCCATTATTAGTCATATTTATACAGAAGCATCCTTAGGTATTGTAGATTCAAGTTTGTTCTAATAATGACCCCTCAGGGGTTTGGGGCACAACAGAGGATCAGAGTTTTGCAAATGAATATATGGAAATCATTTTGAAAAAAATCTTTTGCTCAAGAAGAGCAAAGCCATGATTAGTCATATTATGATAGAAGCATCCTCAGGTAGTGTAGATTCAAATTTGTTCAAATTTACGGCGGGTAGGGTGGGGCCACAATAAGCAATCAGAGTTTTACATAGGAATACATAGGGAAAAAAATCTTTAAAATTCTTCTGTTTAAAAACAGCAAAGCCATGATTAGTAATATTGATATAGAAGCATCCTGAGGTAGTTTAAATTTAAGTTTGCCCACCAACCCCCTTTAAAACTTTTTAATACTGAACTGCTTTCTGCTTCTTCCTAGCCAGTGTGCTCAGGTGAGCGATGTGGCCCATGGGCCTCTTGTCATTGAAAAAGTAGCTGTCAATGATGTCAAAAAGCTTGGACTTTACTTTATCATGGGGAATGGTTGTATATAAAGTTGAAAAGTCGTAAGTTTTCATGTTATTGATTTTGGAAAAATTTTGTCATTTCAAACTTTCCTAAAGTTCCTTGAAATTTTTAAGTATCCACATCTGATTTACACCACTTCTAGAATATATTGTTGCACGTACTCCTGAAGTTTCTCCTTCATTGCTGTTAATATTTTAGTGAGGAGTAAAGAAAGAGGCTTGGTAGAACATTTACTGGAACCCGCTATGTATCTTTGTTTGTAAGGGTGTTAATGAATTTTCGGAATCCAATATAAAGTAATTCAAATTGACATATGATTTTGAAAATTCTTTTTTTTTTTGGGGGGGGGGGGGGGGGGGGCTATTCCTTTGAAGAAAAAAATTATTCTAAAACCTCCACATGAGAAGAAGAAAACACTTACTGCTGCCTTCAACTCGTCAATCAGTTAAATCGACTAGTTAAATCAGTTTTATCAATTAACAATTGTTACTTACATTCATATGTCGACTCGATATATCCCAGTGAACTCAAAATAAATGACACCACGGAGTCACAATTGTTACATATTTTAATGTTTTACTGACTATAGACGATAAGGGACAACTACACTGTGTGACACACGAAATGACTTCAGCTTCAATCGTCCACTTTTCTTTATTTATGTAGTAAAATTCCGTTATCAGTTTGACACCTACATATGGTTTTTATGTCTCCAAACTTGGTCGATACTCAATAGCATGCTGAGTACGATCAATTTTTAAACCGAGGCAGGCTAATGACAATAACTTGATGTTAAAGGGATTTTAACAACCTGGTTCAAAGTCAATACGTCGTTAATTCTATGGTCGTTTCGAAGAAATTAATAGATAATACAACCTGCCAATGGGTCGTTGTCTTGACTGACATATTTCATTCCAATTCTTGGGCCTATGTTTTTATATCAAATTTGACTAAGGATTATTCTATTTACCTGATCAATACATAGGGCTTAGATGGCAAGTGTGACCGGTCCACAGAGGGTGCTTACGCCTCCTAACGCATCTGATCCTGCCTCTGGAATTTCCGGAGGTCCGTGTTTTATGAACTGTTCACAGATTTGTTTTGTTTGTAGTTTGTTTTTCTTCTTTTCTTTTCTTTTAGATCGATCACTGTTCGTTATCTTCAATTATTTCATTTTTCAGCCGTGAAATGTAAGAAGTCGTCTCTTTCGCTGGCAAACTCAGTCTTTACGCCAAATAATCCGATATACAACTATTTGGACATTATAGAGATTTCATGTAGGGAAGGCTATAATCGACACGGCTCATTTCAACTTTACTGTGGACAAGGAAACTCGCTTTTATACAATGGTACCCCAACCTACTGTGAAGGCAAGCATTTTGAACGGTGGATTAAACACCAATTTAAATATCCTCTCTATATCTGATTTTCTAAGAGTTTAAAAGCCTCTTCTGAACATCATTGTGTATAATACGTTAATTGAAAATTAAATAGATTTGGAGGACCTTAGCACTTGAAACATTCTTATATAGGTTATGATTTCCGATCTAATTTCAGAAGGTCCATCTGTTACTGAAACTATTTCAACTATTTTTATATCACAACAAAGTTTTATTGTCAGATATTGAAATTGATTAATCGAATGATATAACCTATACATTAATCATCTATCTATCTATCGATCGATCGATCGACTCACAATGATGGGAGGAGGTATTTCCATTCGATTCATACTGTAGTAATATATGTTTTATTTTCTTTACAGCTATACAGTGTAATGAAACGGCTATTGTAATTTCTCACATAATCATAGACGAGAGGAAATCATACAACTACAACGAAACAAAAACATTTGACTGTTCAGAGGGCTTCATCAGATATGGATCAGCAACAGGAACATGTAAAGACACAAACAAATTTCTCTTTTCCTCCGAGTATGGCGTCCCATCATGTAAAGGTTGGATTTACATAATAAAAACTTGTGAAAAATAACTGCACAGGGGTATACATTTATTGATAAAACGGACCTAGGTCTTTATATTTTATCATTATTATGTTGTATATAGGGTATTTTTTACGTCAATACCTTATACTTACAAGAAGAAAAAAGGAAATCTTGATATAGCAAGCCAAGATATTGATACCACACAAGACGTTCAAAGACGTTCAAATACATATTTACCGAGTGTTTACACTTCGCACATTTTACCGGGTGTGACCAGTCGACCGGGATGCTTACTCCTCTTAGGAACCTTATCTTAGGTGTTTTTAGGAGACTTTGTTTTTTTTTTTTTTTTTGCCCTATTCACGATTTGTTTCATTTACTTGATTTGTGAGATTGATCAATGTTCGTTATATCCTTATTGTCTGGTTGTAACAAAAAATCGCTTATTTCATTGAATATGTAATAATTGAAATGTTTATTCGTTACATACAAAAATATGTATATATGAAAATAAGATAGAAAATGAAAGCTCGAAAGCTTAATTTTAATGGAGTCCTTTATTGTTCGGATGTTGGCACAAAGGGATCAATTCCGTGGGAGGAATCTGGAGAAAACCACGAGTCCAAGCGAGCGACCTTACCCTCTCACAAACAAGCACTGCCGATCACTGGGATCGAACTCGATACCCTGATGCCCATAAGTAGAACAAATATTTTGAAGTTATTACTGTGTATATTTCTCCAAAAATTTCAATTTAGAAATGTTTGACGAATTTAGTGAGGAGAAGGGAGTGTATTTATTTTTCCCCTTTCTCTTAAAACATAATGAGCACCCTTGCCATTTGTGTATTTGCTATCTTTTCACAGCCATAACGTGCAACGAATCAGCTATTAGAATTGAAAATCTCTTGAGGAATGCAACGGCTATCTACAGTTACAATCAATCAAAAGAATTTAAGTGCAAAGAAGGTTACGTTAACACTGGATCAAACGAGGGGACGTGCAAAAATCAAGATGGTTTTGAATATTCATCAAAACTTGGTGAACCATTTTGCAAAGGTATGTAGCTTGCTCTATTATTAGATCACCTGAGTCACTAAGGTGACCTATTGCAATCCGTTTTCGTCCGTCGTCATGCGTCGTCCGTACGCGTCTTTCGTCGGTTGCTAACTTTTGAACATTTTCAGCTTCATCTCTGGAACCGTTGAACCAATTTCAACAAATTTTAATAAAGAGTATCTTTGGGCAAAAGGGGGTAAAAATTGTGAATGTGATGGTCCCTGCGCCCGAGGGGTGGGGCCAAATTTATCAAAATTAATGCAAATTTGAAAAATCTTCTTCTCTATTCCTTGACATCAAGCAGTCAAACTGTTTTCATGATTATAACATATATTGTACAATCAGTCCTTTACCAAAATTGTGAAATTCATAACTCAGGGTAAGGGGTTGTGCAGTTAGGATGGGACTCTATTGATCATATAGTGAAACTGCATAAATTCTTTAAAAAGCTTCTTCTTTCTCCCTGTAAATAAAACAAAGAAACTAAGTGCATGGTTATGATGAGCAGGGGTGCCTCTTCCAAAATTGTGTATATCATGGTCCCTCTAGTATTAGGGTGGGGCTCTATTGATTATATAGTGAAAATGCATTATTTCTTTAAAATCTTCTTTTCTACTCCTGAGTATTAAGCAAACAAACTTTATGCATGGTTATGATGAGCAAGGTTACCTCTTCCAAGATTATGAATAACATGGCCCTGGCTAAAGGGTTCTAGTGTTTGGGGGGGGGGGGCTATTGATTATATAGTGAAAATGCATTAATTCTTAAAATCTTATTTTTTGCTCCTGTGAATTTGGAAGACATACTAGGTGCATGATAATTATGAGTAGGGGTGCCTCTTCCAAAATTTTGAATTTCATGGCCCCTGGTTCGGAGTTCTGGTGTTGTGGGGGGGGGGGGGGTATTGATTATATACGCAAGTGAGTTAAGGCTAGGTATAGGCATTTCTATGCAAATAAACTAATTAAGATGCCTAAGGACTATGCCTCTTATGCAGAGAAAGTAAAAACTTTTTTGTATAATGCATACTTTGTATCCGCGACATGAAATAGCCATTACACATTAGGAAGTCATATTATGATGTCATTTCTCTTTATTATACAAGATTTAAAGGGCATCAACAAAAAAAAGCTTATGCGCAAGGGCATTCTCTATTTTATCTAACTGAAACAAAGCATATTTAGAAGCAAATTATTACAAGGATTGCTGATGCTGCTGCTGCTGCACAAATATCAACAGCTCATTTGTTTAAATATCATTTGTAAAGTTTTAAGTTGAAACAGGGTAAAAATGTACAGTCCGGTATAAATTTCCTCAGATCCTGATCAAATGAGAAAATGCCTAGGATTTGTCCAGCAGTTTTTAAGTCTATAGAATATTATTCTTAACATTTTACAATTTTTATGTAAAATTAAATAGGATAATCCCTTGGACCGAAGCTGTTTTATTGATGTGTTATATTACCACCAGTAAGAAAGATCAATTACGTCATAATATGACGTCATAATGGGTACTGAATATAACATGTCATGGGTACTATAGTCTGTCCCACCAAGCTACTGTCACCACTTTTTGCAACATATCTCAAAATATATGAATACCTTGGCCTTCAACCTAGGTCCGATCGATAAATCATTTTTTTTCCAATTTTCCTCCATTTATCCGAACCCTCGAGTTCAACCGGTGTATTGACACGGCGGCAAATTCAAAGTCTACGGGGATTTAACATTGCCAAAATGGCCGTCACTTCGGAAGGGGATCCATCATTATTCGTGGATTTCCGTACTTTACCGTCATTGACGTAATGACGTAACACACTTTCGGAAATTCTCTGTACTTACGGACGTCCGGAAAAGCATACCGCCCGAGAGTTACCAAGCACCTAGGCTAATACACATGTGTATTTTAAAATTAGTGATAAAATACGGAGTTTTAAGCATACATTGCATATCAATTGACAGAAGAAGTTTAAAAGAGCTAAACACTGCGACCCATTTGAATTCATATACTCAAGGAATCGTAAGTTTGAATTTTAAAAACATTCGAGGCTGCAAAATTCCAACCAAGCAAGAGTGCCATGACTGCTTTGCCAAAACATGTAAGCGAATACGTTCTATAGAGTGTAAATGTAAACAAAATCTACAACTTTACCTTGCACTGAGTAAATCCCAAACACAATATATATATAGTTCAATGTAAACACGATTAAACATCTTGTCACTTCTATACATGTCCCGAAAATGCACTTCCTGGATTTATATACTTATAACACTTATCACACCATATATCCACCTTTGTTAATACTTTTTGAATCTTTGTGCAAAACAAGACTTGTAGTCTGCATCAAACTACGTCACCAGTGGATTTTGACCTTGCCCTTCGAAAACTTCCTGTATCGGCATTAGGTAAATCCGGGCCCTGAGATTTTAAACATTTTATATCAAGTCTTTCCATTAATAAACGCCAGAATACCAAAGATCAAGGACACACTCAAACATGTACTCATGGAATACATTTTATTTTTTTTTATTATGTCTGTAGATTTTGCATGAATATGAACTTTAAAAATATAACCAGGGATCTCTACTAACTATTAGAGTATATAGGTCCCTGATATATAACACACACTTTTTTAAAAAAAAAATGTATATTTGCAGGAAATATAAATTCTTGTCGAATCCCTCTCATATCATTTTTTCCACCAGTGGATTTTGACCTTGCCCTTCGAAAACTTCCTGTATCGGCATTAGGTAAATCCGGGCCCTGAGATTTTAAACATTTTATATCAAGTCTTTCCATTAATAAACGCCAGAATACCAAAGATCAAGGACACACTCAAACATGTACTCATGGAATACATTTTATTTTTTTTTATTATGTCTGTAGATTTTGCATGAATATGAACTTTAAAAATATAACCAGGGATCTCTACTAACTATTAGAGTATATAGGTCCCTGATATATAACACACACTTTTTAAAAAAAAAAAAATGTATATTTGCAGGAAATATAAATTCTTGTCGAATCCCTCTCATATCATTTTTTCCAAACATCAAGAAAAAAAATAATTAAAAACTATAGACAAAATTAAATAAGCATAAATAATACAAAGCATTTTACAGCTGTTTTATTTGGAAACAAGAATTTAATTGTAGAATACAGAATAGCTAGCTGATGAAGACATCAGACAGACCAGCACAAGCAAAGATGATTAAACCACCCAAGGTACCTGCAGATACATGTATATGGCCTTCTATATTTTTTGAAAATTGAAAATTTGTGGAATCATTTTATTGGGGGGGGGGGGGGGGCATTAATCAGCTGTTAGTGGGCAGGCATTAATTCAACTGGTTTGTGCAGAGTCTGACATAATTCATAAGGTTAACTTTAAAATACATAGTTAAACATGTTAAAGATTCAATGAATTGACAAGTTGAAAAAATAAGTATTTGTGGGAATATAAATTAGTGGATATGTTTGACCCACCTATCCTCCCCCAAGAACAATGATGATTCCACAGTAAATGCTGCCAATTATTTTTTTTTAAAATACCAAATAATTGAGTTATGTGTCTGAAACCGACAAAGTAAATACTTGTTGAAGTTATGCTAATTTACATCTTCTTCTGTGCAAAGTAAATTCACACTGTAATAATTAAGGGTATAACATACAAATTCAGAAGAAGAAATGAAAGTCAACTGCTCTGTGGTGGTGTTGTTTATGGTTTGAAAGTCCCTTCAGCCTTGGTACAATAGAAAAGTCTTGACTCATATTCAACACAATGAAGCCAAGAATGAAGCTATGAATGAGTTGGAGAGTGGGTATCTTGTTTTTTTTTTATTTACACTCTTAACAGTTCTGTTGAAAATGGTTTCTGCCTTATCCAGTGTCCAGATCACTAAGTAGACTACCAGTTAATATTTGTTTCAGCCATCACTTTTGGTCTGAAATAGATAATAAAACACATCTTAAATGTTATTAAAATTCTTGAGAATGAAAATTTATGGTTAAGTAATTGAAGTGAAATTAGAGAATGAATTTCAATTCTACATGTACCAAGATACATGTAGTATGAATTATATACATATGGAAACTACAATTTTTATTTTCAGATTCCAGCCTGAAGTATGCAATTCAGACAGAGTAAAGACATTTTAATATTTTATATATACATGTGCATGTATAACTTACTAGTCCAGAAGATTCCTGAGACTCTTTGATTCACCCAATTACATGAATGCCTTCGAGTCTGGTCATCATAACAATGTACTCCAATTTTTTTAACCTTCAAAACAAAAAAATTATGTAAATAAATATAAAGGCATAATCAAGTATACTTTACTTCTTTATTACAATGTGCTCATGCACTGTATACAATATGCATGATCTCAGTTTTCTGGCCTTTTATTTAGTACATGTATGCTAGAATACTGTACATAACTTTAATTTTACAAATGAATGTTTTGCTAAATTTTTCTTTTGGACATAAAGAATTGAGGCATTACAAGGTGAAGATAATCCCCCACTCTGAGAAAAGACATTTCTTAATTCTTAAGTTCATGATGTTATATTTCACAAAAATTGTATTGTCAATATCATCTTTTACACATTTGCTTCTTTTATTTAATTGAATAACTTATTGATTAGTATTTTTTATTTTCAATTACGAAGGTATGTGGAAAGAAAAAAAAAAGAGCCGAAGGCTCAAGTGAGCTTTTCTGATCAAAGGGTGTCCGGCGTCTGCCATCTATAAACTTTTTCGACTTCTTCTCAAGAACCGCTGGGCCAATTTAAAACAAACTTGCAAATGTGACAAAGCATCCTTGGGTGAAGGGGATTTAAGTTTGTTCACAGGAAGTGCCATGCCTTCTTTCAAGGAGAGATAATGAAGAGTTCATGAAAATTTAGTGGCATCTTTAAAAATCTTCTCAAGAACCACTAGCTAGGCAAGAAAAGATGAAAATTATGTAAAAGCTTCATTACAAATTACATTACATGTACAATCAAGTTTATTCATATCATAACCCCGGAGGGGGGGGGGGCACAAGAGGGGGGTGAAGTTTTATGTAGGAATATATGGGAAATGTCTTTAAAAATCTTCTTCTCGAGAACAGCTTTGCCACTATTAGTCATATTAATTCAGAAGCAACCTTGGGTAATGTAGAATCAAGTTATCCTCAGGTAGTGTAGATTCAAGTTTGTTCAAATTAGGGGGTGGGGACACAACAGAGGGTCAAAATTTCGCATAAGAATATATAGGAATCATCTTGAAAAAAAATCTTCTGTTCAAGAACAGCAAAGCCAAGATTAGTCATATTATTATAGAAGCATCCTCAGGTAGTGTAGATTCAAATTTGTTCAATTTTAGGATGGGTAGGGTGGGGCCAGCCGCCACAATGAGCGATGAGCATTTTACATAGGAATACATGGGGGGGGGGGGGGGATCTTTAAAATTCTTCTGTTAAAGAACAGCAAAGCCATGATTAGTAATATTGATATGGAAGCATCCTGAGGTAGTGAAAATTTAAGTTTCCCATTGACATTACTAACAACTTTTTTTTTTAGAAATGTAACTCTTCCTTGAACTTTGAAAATTGTAATATATCTCACAGCAGGGGATTGTCCTGTATGCTCTCTTTCTTTATTGTTTGAACAAAATGGGTTAACTATGGGGTAGATGTAAGTCAATGAATTTCAAATTATGAACTTTAAAGAAATACCAACCCCCCCCCCCCCCAAAAAAAAAATAATAAAGATTTCTTTTTACAATACTGGTGAAAGAAAAAAAAGAAATCTCAAGGGTTGTATACCAGGGAAACTTGCAGCATTACCATATTATGAATTCCAACTTAACAAAAAATTGTTAGTGAAAAAGAGAGGGGACTGAGGAACAATCAAAAAAAAAATCACACTGCCTTTCACATGAAGGGATGAAATGTAACTGCAAAGTTAGTACTGGAAGTGTGAATATTTCAAAATGGGAGTATTTGGGGCATGCCCCCTCCTCTGGAAATTTTAGGATTAACGTAATAATTTGCATTCTGAGAGCTAATCTAAGTTCATTTATTTTATAATAAAATGCAGCATGCTTACTTTATCCTCAACTTAATGTATATTTAATTGAGAATTTTCTGTAACTAAAAGGGGGAAATTTGACATTTTATTCATCAGGTGAAAGGATTGTTTACAGTTATAATGAATTCTGTGGACCAACTGTTGCGTTTTAGATATGTTCCCTGTGACTGAAAGAGAAAGTAGACCTATCATATAAAATATTAAAAATCTTAAGCTTCTTACAAAAAAAAAGTCATTACCATTATAGATCTACTGAAAGTTTTCGTTTTCCCCCACTAGGCCTACTGTGCAGATATGCATTGGGCGCTTTCGCCGAATAATGCTTGATTTTGACAAATCATTAGCACTTGAAAACACTTCTTTTGTGGGTGTACTTTCAGAAGTAAAAAAAAAAACAACTTACGTTTTCATGGGAGGAAGCTGTAATTTACACATCATGTCAACATCTCGTTTCTAGAGCATGAGCAGTGCGTTATCCACAACTTGTACTGCATTGAATTCGGATTATTTTCTCTCAGTTTATGAGAAAACTCGTCAAAATATATTTGAATGCAAAACAATACTTATATTTTTTACCAAAACACACTGAATTGCTTTTGTTGAATTTTTAGGATTTTTTGTAATTTTAATTTGGAAAGAACGACTACTCCCTCGATAAACTGGTTTCCTGCCCCGTGATCTTGACGCTAATGGACGAGTTTACCATGTTAAATCCCCGTAGACTTTGAATTTGCCGCCGTGTCAATACACCGGTTGAACTCGAGGGTTCGGATAAATGCAGGAAGTTTGGAAAAAAAATGATCTATCTCTCGAACCTAGGTTGAAGGCCAAGGTATTTATATATTTTGAGATATGTTGCAAAAAGTGGTGACAGTAGCTTGGTGGGACAGACTATAAGTATGTAGAAGAAAATAAATCAAAACTCTCTATAAATAATAATTGTACCTCAAAATTATGAATTTTGTGACCCCTTGGTCAAGGATTCTGGTATTGAGAGGGGAGGGAGCTCTATAAGTGTCAATGCACACATTCTTTCAAAAATTTTCTCTTCTGCTCCTGGATATGTAGCAGATAACTTACTGCATAATTTTGATGTGCAAGGATGCATCCTCCAGTATTTTGAACTTTGTGTCCCCAGAGTCAGGGGTCAAGTTGACCACTTGGTCAATTATTCTGATGCTGGGTAGGGCTAGATTAATTTGTATTCTACTGAGAGAAGTTATTCCTCTTTGCTATTCACATATGATAATTAATCACTATGAATAATGTAATAAGGTCAAATTTAATAAGATATTTATACAAGGATTTTTTATGATATATCATACAAAAAGTTCTTTCATAGTTCTTAATGGTCAAGTAGACTTGTTAAGTATACATGTAGATAAATAAAAATGAGACAAAAGTTCCTTCTCTTTGTATATTTCTTTAGGCCAAATAAAAAAAATATGTATGGTTCCGATTACCCGACCGTCCCTATTTTATACCCCTGTCCCTAAACTTTTTTTGGCAATTTTCATATTTTTTCCGGAATTTCCCCAATTTCCATCAATGACTCCGGTTTAAGTTTTAATTTCAGCAATGACGGCCTCCTTGCACAACATAGTGCAAGTGTATAATAGTGTTAAATCCAAAGAAAGCTAGCATGTAGTTGTCCCCCTACCAATATTGACTAGTATATTATCACATCACATCTAAATGTCATTTGCAAAGCAGTGATAGGTATTATTTAGAAAAATTAAGAAAATCATTTTGTTAAAAAAAAAAGAAAAAAAAAAGATCCCTACCTACCTACCCTAATTTTTTTGGAGGTGTAACCGGAATCACACATATTTTTTTGTTTGGCCTTATAGACCAAGAAAAGCCAATTTGAGACGGAATGAGATGGGTTTATCAATTGTGCTCAAGCATTATTGTTTTCTTTAGTTTACAAAATAATATTGACATATAGGGACAGGTACAGATAAGTAAGTAGATGTAGTTTAAGATTTATTAAGGAGTCCTATACTAATTATTTTGTTGATCCCTAATCATTATATTTTTCTTTCTTTTGAGCAACATAACTTAATCTATCAGTTTGTTGTATTTCATACTTCAATGGATTATACTCAGGTGACTGTTAAGGCCCTTGGGCCCGTTGTTCAAGACATATTGCAACTTGAATTAAATTATTTATATAGAAATGAAGCTGAAAACTATTTGTAAAATACTGGCCGTAAGAATCTTTATTGAAATTATATTACCGATTTGTTCTAAACTCACCTAGAGAGAAAAACGTATTTAGTTCCATGGGAGAGGGAGAGGGCTGAATTTTAAAATGAAAGGATCTTCTAAATTTCCCTCTCTGACTTACACTGATTTCAGATACTAATACTAATTGTATTGTGAATAAGAGCATAGTTGTTTCCCTTTCCTGGTGGTTGTGAAGTTCTAGAACAAAATTATTTGTTCATAAGGCTAATAAAAAAATTAAATTAATTTTTTTTCTTTCTTGCTGGCATTTACTGGAAGATTCCCGATAAAACTAGAATTAGATATCAGTAAAAAGCCCCCTTGAAAGACTGACATGTTTTCATTTGGACAATATATTTCGTTGTGGATATATCTCGATAAATTATGAGAGTCTATGCTGGAACTGTTTCTTTTCTTTTAAAAGGTTTTACAATTTGTTTTCCTCTTGGCAGAAAAAGATCATTTTCAATCAATTATCGGAGCATTGTCTGGAGGGATACTCGGTGGAATTGGTACATTAGTATTTATTATTATTGCACTGGTACTCCTCAGGTATGCTGTTTCAGGTTACATTATTGTTTCATTTTAAGTGTATTTCATCTGTTTAACTATTTTCTTTTTAATTCGTGAGATAATATTTTCTTGATAACAAATGCTACTTTTTCCAAGAACCCCCATTCTGCTCATCATAACCATGTACTTAATTCATCAGCTTAATATTCATGAGCAGAGGAGAAAATTTTCGAAGAATTAATGCATTTTCAATGTAAAGGTTACATGTTAATGTTGATCTTAAAATTTATTTCACATAAATTATAATAAACACACTTTCTTAACACTAAGTCTAAAAATATTTTTAAAAAATATGTACTAATTTATTACTTCTGTAATGTTGTTTATACTGTATATATCATAATTACAGAAGGAAATCTTCAAATGTAAAAGCAATTGCTGCACCCTGTCCCCCAGACAATGAGCAAATGCTAAGCAACTTAGATAATCAATATGCAGAGGTCAAGAAGCCATCGAGAAAGAAAAAAGGAACTACAGCCTCAAAACTTAAAACAGGTAAGTCAGTTGTAATACACATACATAAATCATCATTCTATGTACTATTTATTCTTCTTGAAATAAACATTCATTGCATCTTGACCTTTTTGCTTCTAAAGAATTAATGTATTAGGTCTCAATCAAATGATAAGTACAGTCAAGAAGATTAATAACTAGAGTGTTACAAGTGTTCCATGGAAGGCAGATGTCGCCTGCTTTATAGCATCATTAAAGATGTAAATAAGGTCAGATACGTATTTATTTGATATTAGCTTTATAGTTCTTGTATCAACCTGCAAAGAAAAAATAAATCATTGATAGTTAAACTGCGAAATAATTTGATAATCGAAAATAAATGATTTTTCAACCTTCAAAGCTAAAATGAATAATGAAATTGAAATTATTAATTATTAATCACATGTTTCAAACAATCCTCCAAAAGAGATGTCTGTCTTTACTTCTATTGTCCGTCTAAACAACGATTCGTTTTGGAGTACCGATACTAATGTGTTTTCATAGTATTTAATTTTTTAGCTTGTGTGGTAATTGTACATGATGCAGTTTCAAAGTACAGTGTCATGGTCTCATTCACATGTGATATAATAATCTAAATATCAAAACACTGCCTCTCAAAATACAAAAAACGCAAGTTAAATTGAACCGTCTGGAGTATTTTTTGCAAAGTAGTTGAAATGTCAAGTGGACTGTACATAACGCTATTATTTTTTTACGTATGACAAACAGTGCACATGCTTAATAGCATAGCCTTACCTCTTAAGGGGGCCGACTGGGGTTTTCATTGCGCAATACTTCGCGCAGCATAGTAAAATAAAGCGTATTTACCCTTTTAAATCAACTATTTTTACATAATTTATAAAAATTAACAAATTTAGGAAATCTCAGGTTAAAATATCTAATTAAGTTTTTAAATTACTGATTTTTTAAACGATTTTTCAAATGACTGGTAGATAGACGTCGTAATAGTGTGTTTTTGACGTTATGAATAACCGAAGTTCTTGAAGCGGGGTCATTAATTATGCCATAAAATAAAAAGTATAAAATACATGCTCTTGAAATTTTTAACATAGGAAATTGAGAATCTAACAATCATTTTTATCATTTTTTATGTCAATCTGTGGTATCTGTCATGTTTTGTTATACTCCATAAAAACAGGAAAATATCATGAATTTTGACATTTTGAGATGCCCCCTCTGGAAACCAGACGGTAGAATTTTGTGTTTCTTGCACAAAATGTACAATATAGTATTACCCATCAAATAACATAATTTGAGCAAAAAGTCTATAGTAGCATTTGTATAATCTGCTCAGAAGTGCGAAAAAATGATATTTTCCTATATAATCCTATAGTAAATGTACATGTACATGTATTCTGAAATGGTCCCTAAAAATAACCAGACGGTAGATTTTCACTAAACTTGGTATGTATACTGAAGTCAATGTAAGGTACATATGAGTTTCTCTATAGTAGTTTTCACACAATAAAACCCCAGTCGGCTCCCTTAAATGTCAAAATATGCTCTATATCGGAACTATGAACTATTTTAAAAAGAAGATTAAAGGTTAAGTTCAAGGGTCACGAGGTGGTAGCCTTTGAATTTTACACAATCCATATTGCCAAGCAATATATATGAAAAATAATAAATCCGTACCTCTTATAGTCCTCGAGGAATACGGTTTGACAGTCGGACTGACAGACAGACGCCGGCTAAAGTGATCCCTTCGTGTTGCTCTGCTCTGCAGGCGACACAAAAATGCCTTTTAAGAAACAGTTTCTATATAGCTAAAACTAATTAATGATTTTTTCAATCAATATTTTATGCAATATTAAATGAAATCATTTGAATTTCATTGTAGAGAGTAACGATGGATCACAAACCTATTGTAACGTGAACGCCATAAATGAGGATAACTGGAATATGCCAGATCAGAACGTTTACTATGATTTTTCACCAGCGTCAAATCCATCGGAAACTGCGATCAAATTATTCCTGTTCAAGGACTATGTGGAGAACAAGAAAAGAGAAATCAATTTTTTCAGCGATCAGTTTAAGGTTACGTATACATGTACATGTATAATGATAAGCCATCTAATCCTATAATGATCACTTTCATTCCTTTGAAGAATACTGGTATATCAAGTAAAGGCAATAATTACTCCATTGAAGCAAGAATTACCTGTGCTCAATGTTCACAACATAGTTCTGTGGTTGATGATTTATCTTCAAATGAATTTTCTTATATCATGCTTCTTATTATTATTGAAAGATGTGTCTGTGAAACACTGATGCTCCCATATGGCAACTTAGCAAAGGTTAAACTTACTCAAATGCAAATCAAATATGTTGGTACCTAAAGTAAGGTCTTGTCTCGAGGAATATACCTGTGAAATATGAAAGCCCTAGCAGCAACCATTGAATAGATATGGAAAAGTTTAAAGTTTTTCAAAAGTAAGTCAAACATCAAGGTCAAAGTCAAATGGTCAAAATTAATTGTGCCTTCTCACAAGAAATATACAGGTGAAATATGAAAGCTGAAGCACCAATCATTCAAAAGTTATGATAAAGGTTGAAGTTTTTTCAAAAGTAGGTCAAATCCAAGATCAAGGTCAATGGATTACAATTGTTGGTATCCAAAGGAAGGTCTTGTCACAAGGATTACATATGTGAAGTATGAAAGTCTTAGCATCAGCGATTCAAAAGTTAGAACCAAGGTTAAAGTTTTTCAAAAGTAGGTCAAATTCCAAGGTCAAAGGGTCAAAGTTGTTGGAATTCAAAGGAAGATCTAGTCACCAGGATTACATATATGAAGTATGAAAGCCCTAGCACCAATGGCCAAGGTTTATTTTTCAAAAGTAGGTCAAACTCCAAGGTCAAGGTCAAAGGGTCTTAGTTGTTAGAATCCAAAGGAAAGTCTTGTCACGAGGATTACATCTGTGAAGTATGAAAGCCCTAGCACCAGCCGTTCAAAAGTTGTAGCCCATGTTAAAATTTTTCAAAAGTAGGTCAATCTCCAAGGTCAAGGGGTCAAAGTTGTTGGTATCCAAAGGAAGTTCTTGTCACAAGGATTACATATGCTAAGTATGAAAGCCTTAGCAATAACCGTTCAAAAGTTATGGCCAATGTTAAAGTTTTTCAAAAGAAGATCAAACTCCAAGGTCAAGGTCAAAAGGTAAAAGTTGTTGGTATCCAAAGGAATGCCTTGTCACAAGAATTATACCTGTGAAGTATGAAAGCCCTAGCACCAATTGTTCAAAAGTTATGACCAATGATAATGTTGGAAAAAAATTTGCAAAACTGGGTCATTTTTTTCTTTTCATGAGAGAGAGAGAGAGAGAGAGAGAGAGAGAATTTATTTAACCCTATCAAATTCCAAAAGCTATAAAATCTTCTATTATTTTTTTAAAGCCTAAAATCGGTATTTTTCTTTTCAGAAATTTCATAGAGGTCTTCAGTTTTCGGCTACGGCTGCTGTAGCGTCTGGCAATAAGTCAAAAAACAAATACAAAAATATCTATCCATGTAAGAGTTCATTCAGAATTGTATCTTTATTATATATACGTTGATACTTCATTTCATGACATATGTCTTTTACAAATGTTCATAAAAACATTTCAGTAAACAAACTTCAGCATCGTTTTTTGCTGCAACTAACTCGCTTTCAATTATTTTTGTGACAATGCTTACATGTACAATTATATACATTTTTTAATCAATTGTTTATATTGATTTAATACTATAGACGATGAAACACGTGTTAAACTGAACACGGAAAATGAACATGCAAAACCAGATTTCATCAATGCATCTTTTATACACGTATGTATAGTATTACAAATATATTTCAAAATGATATCAAAGTATTGTCTAAAAACTTACTTGTGTGTAATTCTTTGGCGAAACTTCTTCGAAGTTATTTGTTGTAATTAATAATGAAATTTGAACATTCATTATAGGGATATGGAAAAGTAAAGGCATATATTGCTGCACAAGGTATACATTGCAATTAATTAATGATTAATTAAATAATGCTATAATGCATTAGATTTAAATCCATATAGCTTTAATAAGAAAATATACACTGTATTAAAAAAAACAAATCGAGCAATATGTATAATTTGTTTTTAATGCAACTTTTTCAATGTGTAAAAATAATATATTACTTTATGGAATTCTAATTTTAATACCAAAATATATATAATTGAATTCAATTTCCTACATTATTTTTCTACCCAAGGACCTTTGGTGGATACCATTGATGACTTTTGGTCAATGATTTGGAATGAAAATTGTGAGAAAATTGTGATGCTAACAAACTTAACGGAGAATAACAAGGTAATAATAAGATATGGGGGAAAATGTACGGGATATTTGAAAAAAAAAGTTTTCGTGTAATTGCTGCTTATGCATAGCTATTTTTGTGGGATATTCGTTGTGTGTGAGAGGGTGTGTGTGTGTGTGTGTGTGTGTACTTACAAGTTTCCATGGTTATTGTTTTCTTTGTTTTGATAAACTAGTTTCCTTGAAAGTTAACTTGGGGAAAAACTATGATTTTCTTATGAAAAATGCAAAGACCAGGAGAGCTTATGTGAAGGTAAGGTGTCTGCCTGTCCGTCTGTGAGTGAATTTTTCAAAATCCTTCTACAGTTTTGTTCTGATTCAATATAATTTGGCACACAAGTTGACTATACTAGCTATAGGATACATTATTTTGTGTATTTCTTATGTCGATCAATGGTGTTGCCATGGTTACTAAAAATAAAAAATTCTGTGAAAGACTTTCAAAACGCTACTCCTCCTACATTTTTGGTCTGATATCAATACAATTTGGCCCAGAAGTAGACTACACTACAGTACATAGATAATATAAAATTTGGAACCCAAGTAGACTACAATAAGATACACAATTCTGTGTGTCGCTTTTTGATTTTGGTAAACGGTGTTGCCATGCTTTCTAAAGAAAAGGGAAAATTCTGTGAAATACATTCAAAACACTTTTCATCCTACAGTTTTAGTCTGATTTCAATTTAACTTGGCACGCAAGTAGACTACACTGAGGTTGATATAATTCTCTCTATCTTTATCTGTTTTGATTTTAATGAATGGTGTTGCCATGGATATAAAAATAGAAATGTCTGTACAATTCTTTTAAAAGGCTACTTCTACAGTTTTAGTCTGATTGCAATGAATCTTGCCAAAAAAAAAGATATTAAACAAAGGATCATCATTCTATTTATTGGCTATTGCTGTTGCAAAGTTTCAAGTTCAAGTGCTACTTTTGTCTTTGTTATTAGTACAAATCAGTAAAGCTTCAGTCACACCAGGGACTATTGGTTTAGATTTAATCAGCATTGATTAAAATTACGATACATTGATTGATCTGGAAAATATACTTCTGCTTGAATTGAGCCATAGTAATTTTTTTCCCATTGAGGTAATTCTAAGCGCGGATTTAAGACTATTTGTCAGAAAAAAGTCATATAAAGTTAAAAAGGGATCTAGAAAAAAATCATGAATTGAGAAGATACTTGTACTTAAGTATAGAGTGTATCCTTTACATGATGGAGGGGCCACAAAAGTCAAATGCAGTTGTGTATAACTTCTAGAACTGAAATCGTAGAACTACAGTCATATCCGAAGCTTCTGATTGTTGAATAATTTCATTTTGCACACGTATTTTAGGTAAAATGCATCCAGTACTGGCCTGAGAAAGACTTAATGAAGAAAGGACATCTTATCGTAGAATTTGTAGATATGGAAGAGTTTTCAGACTTCACAATTCGAACATTTTGCATTAAAAAGGTATTTTGTATTTCAATCCCTCTTTAGTTGATTTCTTGGCACAATATTGTATTTACAGTGATGATAGATTGAACTGATTTTACCTGTGTTTTACCAGGAAAATGAACAGAGAATCATTCGACATTTTCACTTTACGGCATGGCCAGATAAAGGAGTACCAATTTATGCCTCTTCTCTAGTTCATTTTCACTCAAAAGTGAGAAACACCACAGCCCAGGGCAAGGGACCTTTGGTTGTACATTGCAGGTTTGTCTTTATTAGCCCATTAATTTCATACTGAAATGTCTACGATTTTTTCCGTTTACCCGATAATGACAAGAAATGTGCGGCGGATGTGACCTGTCGACGAGGAATGCATACGCCTCCATGGTACCTGATCACACCTCTAATGTTTATAGAGGTCCTTGTTTGCCCTGCTCCCAATCCATATTGTTCCAATGGACTCTTGAGCTTAATTACTGTTCGTTATCTTCATATTTCATCTTTTCATTGTTTAAAGATTTTTTAAAGAAAGAATTTTGCTTTACAAGCGTATTTTACACTTGAGTTACCCAACTTTAACATCTTTGTTGGCCATTTAGTGCTGGGATTGGTAGAACAGGCACTTTTATTGCGTTAGACTTCCTGATTCAGGAGGCCAAAGAATCTGGCTTTATAGATGTGTTTAGGTGTGTGGAAACATTAAGACGACAACGGGTAAACATGGTCCAAACTTTGGTACGTATGTTGGAATAGTTTGAAAATATTTTCTCATTTCTTTCTACTTTGTTTCGCTCTTTATACTCGTAGTGATAAATCCTTGTATCTTAGTTAGACATTTGTTGAGAACTAATTTATTTCTTTCACAATTTCCTTTGAATTGATTCAAAAGTTTATTTTTTTTTATTTTTCTGTAAAAAGGAGCAGTATATATTTCTTCACGATGCCTTAGTGGAAGCATTAATGTGTACATCCTCTGATCCTTCCACAACCGAATTTACTCAGATTTATGCAGATCTGATGAAAGTAGACCCAGAGAGTGGCAAAAGAAATCTTGACAAATATTTTGAGGTAAAACATTAATATTTTTATTTAAGAAAACTTCTTTACTTCATAGATGAAATTCATAGGTATCAATATGTGTTACTTAATTAAATTTTGTAGAACCTTTGTACTGGCTGTGCTGAAATCCCTCAAGCCGCCTACGACTTCGCTAAAAAACAAGAAAACAGAAGAAAAAACAGATACAGCAATATTTTACCAAGTATTTTTAAATAAAGTTTTTATCATAAGTTCAAGTAAGCTTCTTTGAAAAGAGATTGTCTAGAGTCAGTCTCTACGTACTTTTTTAATTTCATTTTTGTGATATGGCAGTCTTGACCAAGAGAAGTATGGATATAGATCATGCAATAGCTGCTTTAACAACTTACAGAAATAAGGCCTAGGTTGTCGTCATTTTTTTTTTCTCCTAATATATAAGAAAATATTAAGTGTCTTCTCAGGAACAGCTGTAATATATAACATTAAAAAAGTTTTGCATCTGTCGAACACTACATCTAGTATTTGCATTGTTCATTAATTGGTGTCTAATCTACGTTTATGGTAACAAGTCTCGGAATATACTTTATGTAATGAATACTGTTTCAGTACACACCGCAATGCCGAAGATTTGGGATGAAAAATACAAGACGATCTACATCAACGCCGTTTTCCTGCCGGTAATGCATGCATTTTCTTCTCTCAAATACATTTCTGTACAAAATGTTAGTGTACTTTGCCGAATTATAAACGAAATTAAACATCAATAAGAAACAGGACACTCAGAGCAAGTACCTCTTTACGCTTGAAAAAATATTGGATACGCAAATATTTTATTATTATTTTGAAACAATGTACCTGTTTACTTACGATTTGTTTTATAATTTAACCTAATCATTTTTCTCACAGAATTATTTAATCACATGATAGTGAGCTTTATTTATCTATTTGAAAAGACGCTTGAAAGACAGACGACTACAAATATGAAGTGAAAATTTAAGCATTGATTTGTTTGTAGTCAGTAAAAAGACTTAAATGTTTTGTTTGTTCGAGAGCAAATCCTGATTTAAGTATTGTATCATTTAACATGTCAAATGTCATGTCAAATATCATGTCAAATGTATTGCAGAGAATAGAAATTAAGCACATTTTGTATATACATAGTCTGTATGTGACGTAGACCTTTCTAAAATTAATATAGTACTAGAGTGTAATCTACGAATATTTTGAATATATATTTCAGGCCTACAAAAACAGGCAATCATTTATAGTCACACAGATGCCTCTCAGAGAAACTGTTGTTGACTTTTGGAGGCTGGTTTACCAATATCGTGTTTCTACCATCGTCCTCCTCAGTGAAGTAGAAGAAAATTCGTCCGATTTGAAACAGGTTTTCTATTTACAGTAGTTTGCTTTTTTAAAATTACATTTTCTAGTAATGAAACGTATTAAAAATAAAATTTTCAAAATGACATTAATTTAAGATAAGGCATTGAATTTCAAAAGCTGCAATATCCTCCATTTGTCTTAAAGTTGAACACACATAAAGTCTATCCTGTGCGATCAAAGTTTTATTAATAGTCTATGTTATACACCCAGGTTTCCAAAATTTTATTTCAAGTAAACAGTAAGAATATATTAATACAGAAAGTACACCTATATTTGTTTTAAAGTTTCAAATCGATGTTTTACTAAAAATCATTTAGATGTCAACATAAACACATTATTAAATAATACGTATTTTAGATCCTAATAACAGCTTTCGATTTTTCTCATTTAACATTTTGCAGTTTCTCATATTCATATAGCAGTCAATTTAATGGCATATTGTAGAACATTGGAAAATATTGGCCAGAAGGCACTGATAGTATTCAGTATGGACCTGTTACCGTAACCAAGGAAATCTCAAGTTCAACAGATGGAGATGAGAATTACAGTGTTATTAAGCTTGTCTGCAGTTTAGAGAAAGGGGTAAAATACTTTACAGTTTTTACATGTACATTATTTTTCAATTATAAAAATTCCTTTTTGTCTTCAATCACAGTTAATTTAATTAGAGAAAAAAACTTGGATCAACTATTTAAAAATCATCCATTAATAAAATAGATTTCTGCTAAAGGTAATTGTCATTGTAAACGTTAAAAACGCACATTTTATTTTTCTCAGCAAGCTTACTATACATCAACCATTTTTTATCAGGAAGAAAGGCAGATCAAAATATTCAAATGCAATTTCTGGAGAGATTCCGAGACAATTCCTTCGTCAATCTCACCAATTTTGAAGTTAATAAATGACGTAGAAATGCATCATAATAAGAACAACACAGGCCCTATCATTGTTCAGTGCAGGTAAGATAAAAAGACGTTTTTGGACAAAAAATCCTACAGTATTTTATATCTGACATAAGCCTTAAGCATTTTACAGATTTAATATGAAGAAATATCTTTCTTAGAGGCTGAATAATAAAATTTCACATGAGATATTGAAAAGAATTGCAAATACATTTAACATATGTATTTGAAAATCTGAGAAGTCCTCTTAAACTTGGAAAAGAGTGCGGTTAATTTTGTCAAATATTCGGTATTTTCAAAGCAAGTAGTAGCTAGTGATTAAATGGTTTATTCTATAGAAATGGGGCTGAGAAAAGCGGCTTGTTTTGTGTCTTGCAAGTCGTGTTGGAAAGAATGAAAATAGAACAAGATGTAGCCATCCATCAAGTTATTCAGCACATGCGAAGCGTGAGACCCAGCATAATTTCAAATGTGGTAATGTATGAATAATAGTTCGTCGCTTTATGAGATTGAAAATATATCATTTAGACTGAGATGTTTGAGATATTTCGTTTACTTCTTTTAATAGCGGATGTTACATCAGATACTGATAAATTACATAGAATATTTTAATGAATATGTGATATGTTTATTTCCTAACTATTGAGCTTTTGAAATTATTTATATAAAAACTACTTTGGTAATCCAAGGCCAAGACGTTCTGTTTGTTACCCAAAAATTATTTTTGTATTTTCAGGAGCAGTTCAAGTTTTGCTATGATGTTGTTATGGAATTCATGAAGCAATATGACGCCTATTCCAATTTCCAATGAGACAACTTTCCTTATCTTTTCTAAGAAGTAAAATATCACATTGTTAAAGTGCTGCTTTGTTAAAATTTAGGTTATCTGTATTAAATTCCATTTTTATTATCTAGCTTGTAATTAAGATTTTGTATCTATTTAATGTATATTAGAAGTTATATCTCTTTGAATGTAGTCAATAACTTAGCAATGTATTATGTCTAAACAACTTTAAGTCCAGTGTTCTTTTTATTTATTTATTTATTTATTTATCTATCTATCTATCTATCTATTTATTTATTTATTTATTTATTTATTTATTTATTTATTATTATTATTATTATTATTATAAAATTTATTTATAACTATTTTTCCCATTTTTGAAAGACATTTTCTTTCTTCCAGAAATACTTTGAATTATATTAACAGAAACACTGTAGCGAAATTTGTTTATTAATGAAAAGCAATAGTCTTTTATTTCTATTTTCGAGATACAAATTTTCAGGGATGCACAAGAGTATAAGAGTTTGCAAAATTAAATCATGCACAATTGACCATAGTTATGCAATGATTTGCAGGATATTTTGGTGATTTCCAGTCTTTTAGGATAAAATGAATATAGCATGAACTAAGACTTTCTGTTATATTTTTGACATATATGTATCTTGTAATCGTCCTAAACGAAATATATCTTTAAAAATGGATAGACTATGCATATTATCTGAAACGGATGGTATATTCTCTATTTTCCTTTAGTATTTCTTTCTTTTTTATATGTTCCAGTGATGCCACAATAGAAGTTTTAGTATTCAAAGCTGGAGTTAAGGTCAAGACTTAGTAAATGGAAGGTGCTTTCAAATTTCTCAAATCTGAGAAACAAGGTCTTTTAATGATCCTGTACAAATATAGCTGATGAAATTAGATGCATCGGGACATAATTTTTATGTAAACTCAACGAAAATAGATACTTTAAACTGTCATTTTCAATGAACAATGAAGGAAGTTAGGAATAAATATGGGAAATTTTTCCATCGCAGTACAGTCAAGGTGCCAAATGGAAATATCTGCGATTTTTTTAGATAGAAAATACATTCTATACAAGAATGGGTGATTATTTTTAGGACTTTACTATTATAGGACAAATGTTATGTGATTAAAAACTACATGTTGAGATCGATTAGATTTCTTATTTAGACTTATCATGCAATATGGCAGTTAAGTGATTTTAGCAAATATACCTGTAGTATTGAGGTCATCTATAAATTCAAAATTTGAATGGGCATAATCAAGCTAAAATTCTAAGTTTCATTTATAATTATTTTCAACACTCTTTGTAGTTTGTGAAAAGTGCTGCGAACCTATATACGAGGGGTGATCAACAAGATCTCGAACTAATTGAATTACTTCCTTAAAAGAAATAAAATGAGGTTTCAGTGCTCGTCATTTTTTCCTCTTCGATTATAATGCACATCTGCCATTCTTCTGACTATGCGCGAATCACGTGATCAAGGCGGTCACGTGACATGCTCTGTAGCGTTCTGTTCACAGAAGCTAAAAGATTTTTCCGAGTCTTATATTTCTTACAATGCAAGTTATTTTTTATAATAAGAACAGTCCATCTGTCAGAAATGGCCAAATCTTGGCAATAGGATGGGTAGATAAGGACATCCCTTCCCAGAATTAGCATGGTGATCATCAAAAGTCCTCTGTCTCGGGAGCGTCGTTTATCCAATGTGGATAAAGTATGGACGACCTCTTTTTATCATATCTCATATATGTTTAAGTCTAAAGTAAACGATATTTTAGGGATTCAATAATTACATTATTGTCAAGATATTCAACTATTTTTCTAATTGTAACATGGCGTTCTTTCATAACAAATTGCTCAACTAAGGACACATCTTTTCCCCGGCTTGCTTTTGCTGGGCAACGGAACAAACATCATTTTTAACCATCTCCCTGCCTTCACTAAAACAATCAATCCAATTAATGATTGAACTTCTGGTAAGTCTTTTGTCTTCATAAACCTTGTACAAATTATCATCTTCTACTGCAAAGAAATTTCCTAGATATACGTTAAACTTTATAGCAGTTCGTTGCTGGAGTACGACTGAGTCAACCATTTTTTGTCACAAGTCACCTACATACTGACGTCATTTTCACATTGTGACGTCACAAACACGGAGCAAAACATTATATAATACATGCTATTTATAGAATATGTGTATGACTATATGTGTGCCAAATTTCATTCTAATCTGAATTGTGGTTTTGTAAATATAGAGATAGTTCGCGAACTTTTTGATCACCCCTCGTAGATTCTACTATCTAATTGCTAAAATTACATTTGTTAGACCGTATGTTGAATACGGTATTTTGCTGGTAAAGTACATTATATATAGATATAATTAATTCATTTGCGAGATTTCATCAGGTTCGCAGAACTTTTCGAATATCTTCATACCTCTTGAGTTTATGTGTAAAAGCTTGTCATAATTCATTGAGGGTATGCCCTTGCAATATTAGCATCTATTTGTGTATACAAAATAGATGCCTTTAACTTACGAGAAAAGTATATTTGCAGGGATCTATATATTAGTATATAGGTACCTTGTATGTTGGCTTTTAACAGTCGGGCTTGGATGACGCAGCAAGTGTTGTATATATAAAGGGTCGGGTATGTTCACATTCCTTTCTGCTGAACCTTTGAAAGGTAAAGACGCATAACAAATGCTTTCAAAAAATACATCTAATTTTTGCTCTGTAATTTAAAAAAAAATCGTATAATTTTCCATTTATTGTTTTCTAACATTTGTTGGATCCAAAATTTCCACGAAGCAGACGACGCACACGCGGTTATGCCAAAAAATAATTGCTTTACCTATGTATTGTTATTAAATGATCAAATATTGGTTATCAACATTAATTATTGTCTTTTTGTTTCATACTGCGTCGAAAACGGAAAACGCAAACCCTGAATAGGAGAACAATATGGAAACTCGGTCGGACCTTTTCGTGGAAAGTGAGGATGGGCCCAAATATAACTCCTTATCATATCTCTAGACTGTGATGAATTTAGATAAAAGGGAGAATGAAACCTCCTATCTTGCCCAGAGAAGAGCATTGCTATATTTATTTAAATGCTCTAAAGCTTTCCGGAGTTCATTACTTTGTATTCATGAAATTTTAGACTTAATGTTGTGAAAAATGATTAATTATTAGATTAAAAACGTAAATACAGTCAAACCTCATTGTCTTGAACTTTTGGGACAATAAATAACTTTCAATTGAGATGTCGGGTAGAGTGCTTTAAGGGTAGGTGTCAATCTGACGTGACCATGTTATTTAAGATATCAGTGTTCCAAATACCAAAGTTAAAATTACAATTACTTCTGTAAAGCAATTAAAACTGATAGGACATTCATCAGATTGTATGTTGCAAAATGAATATATGGTTTTATTTTAACTATATTCAGTTGTCTTTAGACATCAGAAGTGACCCAAAGAAAGAATTTGCTAAGTATATGTACCTTAAATTCTTAACAATGTAGCAATTATTTCTCAGAGGAGTGCTAGAAGGATGCTTATATTTTGTAATTTCATACGGATAATGCTGATTGTTTGACTTCGGACATTGGGCTTTCATTTTAAGGTGTTTGGCTCTGAAAACTTGCGGGGTGCTTATAATTTGTAATTTTGTACATATATATAATGCTGATTCTAAGACTTCAGGATGTGTATTTGGCTTACATTTTTAATGAGTTTGGTTTTGTTTTTAATCAGAACACCAGAAAAATGTAATTTCCTTTTTGGATCAAGTCCATATTGATAGCAGTACTACATGTAGTTATATTCAGGCTCATTGCTTGTGAAAATATATCTCCAATTGGTGTCATTAATAATCAAACATCAATGCCTAGACTTTTTTTCATTGTATAAAATATAACTTGATCCGACTCTCACTGCATACAAACTGCGTGAAATTGTACAATATGACGTCACATTGACAAGTGCATTGCGATCAGTGAATTGTATATATATTGCTGTGTGGGATTTAACCAATGACAAAATACATGCAATAGTAAGTATTGATGTAGTTTAAAGCTATCCAACAGTTTAAAATAGCAAATCATTTCATTTTGTGGTAATTTGAAGAACATATATTTTTGTGTGTTGTCATAGTAAGCATTTCTCGTATAAATTAGGCCCCGCCTACTTACTGTAGCCTTAACTGCGCTGTTACTGTAGAAAATGTATCAATATGGCCTAAAGTCTCTCATATCTTCTTGACCTCTACTTTTAAATAATAATTTGAATGTAGGAATGTAGCGGTTACTTTCAACATGATTTCAAATTGAAATCCATGTAAATGCTTTTTTACATAATTCTATTATAGCCATAAAGTACGGGAAAAATTAAGTTAATCAACTGAGATGTCATAATGGATCTAGCAGCAAAAATACGGTCTAAACTCATTTACCTTATTTTGATCTTGACCTTAAATCATAAACTGTTACCATTCCAGAATAATTCATTTAAATTTTAATAATATTTTTGCAAAAGAACATTTCAAATGACAAAAAAGACCTGTGGACTGAACCCAACTGAACTTAGACATTTGAAGATAACGTTTAACTATTATAAAATATAATGTACATATTACGAAAATTTAAAATATTATCGGGATACCCCTAGCTTTTTTCATATTCCTTGTCTCATCACTTGAAATTACTTTTGATGGATCAAAGTTCTAATCTATTTTTTATTTTAAAGTATATTGTGTTACAGACCATCCCCCAACCAAGACAACAACAAAGATTGGATTTATGCCCTTAATACTACATCCATTTGTCATGATTTTATTTGTAGATATTATGGGAATATCACCAACTATTGTATGTTATTACTGTACGCCATTTCTCCTCTTGAAGACGGTATACAGAGTTGAAGTATTTTACAGTCTTCGTACTGTGCACTTCTTCTCCTGTAATGTAGAAAATGCACGTTGTGAAATCTTTTTTTTTTCACATCAAAACTTCTCATGTTGAAGTTTACTTAATAAATTCTGCTTCCTATGAATATAAAAACAGGTCGGCTAATAAAGAAACACAATATATGCCCATCGAAATTCCAACAGTTTGTTAGAAGAACTGGTCTCCGACGACTACATAAATATTGTCAATAAGGAACTCCTTTATCCTTTTCAGTTTATCAACTTCAGAGTACTTGTGTGTA